ACAACAGCCTCTACATTTCACTTAAAGCACGGTAAATGAAAATGTCTAAAGAATTTGGATAACATTGCCTACAGCCATGACACTTAAAGACTTTGTCGCAAGTGTGCCGCCCCTGAAACAAACTCAGATCGCAGCTAATCATCGGATCACGAGTGTCAAAGCTTGCGCAAGCGCCGCGGGCGTGCGTGTGCGCAGCTTTAACGTCACAAATTTATGGCGTTTCTCAATGAACAGATAAATCATATCGGCCTTATTTTATCACATAGGCAGCTTTATTTTGATCGACATCATCAAGTCATACTAAAGCCTGGTCCGTGAGCACATAGAATTTTGTCCAATGACCCCAAGCTACCCATCCTTATCGCTCGCGCGTGTTCTACGTGCTCACAGACCAGGCTTTACTAGTGCCACTGCAGGAGCACGACCCTCACTAAACTAACGCCCGTATTCAGAAATTATACTTACTATGAGGTCTCACAGTACGCGTGGACACAGAGGGTGACACACGAACCTATCACAGAGCTCTATTATTATCGCTGTGCGTTCGATTTGCTGCTTCACTTAAGCAAGCATCGTTTGTGAACACGGGTGTTATCTAGGAGGATCTTACACTCCCCACTCTAACCTTAGTCGCTGCTTAGGTAGGTACTACATTTAGGGCTGATTTTTCAATCGTCGGATAACTTTTAACTGAAGCATTAAGTTTAGCACATTGACAGTTTCAGCATGGGAAATAGGTATGTCAAATGACTAGTTTAATCTTCAGTTATAAGATATCTGACGATTGAAAAATCAACCCTATAAAGAGTAGGGGTGAAAACGGGCATTATTCTATTCTGTCGGAACCATACGTACAATAATCTTTACCAGGATTATAAAATTTAACTCGCGGTTAATTGATGATGACGCTTGAAATTGATACCCAAACTGATACTTACGAGTATTTTAATCTGTTTATAAAACATTATTTATTATTTTATATGACATAACCCGTCAGTTATTATGACCCCTACATCCTGTGCTAGCACAAGCCTCGCTTGTAGCAATTATAATAATTAATGTGTTCTGACTTCTGTCTGTCAATGACTTCCTTTTCACGAAATAAATTCATACTTATTAATATGTTGTTAAAAAGCAGTGCAATTTAGTGGAATCATTTAGCTTGTTATAGAAACGTATATTTAAACTGGATTTTTCAAACATCTATGCTATGGTTATACCTACGTAAGGTGGCTCATATAGTCACATCAGCGTGGCACTCTTAGGCTGGGTTGTACCATCTTACTTTAACTTTGACAAACGTCAAAAATCTGTCAAACTCCATACAAAAAGCACCGGTTATCGTCATAGTTTGACCGTTAAAACTCAGCCTTAGTTGTTATCCCTACATGATGGAAGAAGATTTTTTTTATGCATAACAAGGCAGGTATTTGACCGCAATCTCACCTAGTGAGATGCAGTCTAGGATGGTACATATCTGCTTTGTAAGTGCCTATTCACTCTCGCCTTGAAAAGGCCCGGATTATAAGTAGTTTTATAGACCTATTATACTTCAGAGACCTTGAATATTTTGTCTGCATCTAGTGTCAAATGTACCCAATCATAATAACCTAATACATCAAGTTTAACGTTTATTATCCGAGTGACCTGAGTACTGGAAGTAGGCCAATATCCGGCCAGTAATATATGAAAGGTTACACTGGCTCGTAATTTATATTCACTTGATTCTCACGCCCTCTCTTTAAATTATAAATAACAAATTTATACGTTTGAAAATACAGTCGAAGCGTTTGGCGAATTTCTGGTTGTAATTTATGTTCACAACAAAAACACTAAAGATGGCAACGCCAAGGAGGAAATAATATCTGGTATACGGACCATAATCAAATTTTTATTTATGGGTTTTCGAGTTTTTTAACAAAACTAAAAATATTACATAGATAAAAAATTCAATTATTTTTTAACAATCTTACCTAGGACAAATACTGACGAAAGAATTCTTAGTTTCTTTTTAATTTCCATTGTTGAATGTCCAGCATAGGGTATTATGCATTTTTCTGCCAATACAGACTTAAAAAGCACAAACTTAAAGTGCTTTCCAATCTTACGAGCAGTGTGTATCTTTCCTATGTGTCCCGCTAGCCCCAGGGCATACGTATTACATTTAATAGCAATTACTCTAATAACACACATTAAACTTCGAATGCTCGCGGCGCAATCAAACCGTGTGTCCCTGAGGTAACAACATTATTAGTTTTGCTTTACTTGCATGTGTTTAGGAAATTATTTTTATTATTATGAATTGTTTGCATACGTTGTAGGTAGATTGATTAGTTTACTTTAGGGCTAGAATAAACTTGTCATTTTGACATATTTCCCATACTGAAACTGTCAATGTGCCAAACTTATTCTTCAGTTAAAAGTTATCCGACGATTGAAAAATCGGCCCATAAGCAAATAATTTGAAAAATAAGCAAGTGGTTAGAAAACTCATAAAACTCATTAATTTATGCAAATAGCCTTTTAAAAAGCACTTTTAATCAAAATAATCTGACACATATTTTTGTTATAAAACAGCATAGCACGTATCAAAACTGCAAAGTGTTTAAATGATGTATCGTCAGTGACGATTCATCACCCACCCCTACGTAATTTCCACGCCTCCTAACCGTTAAAATTCTTAAAATAGTTATTCAATCTAAAATGAGTCATCACGATAAAAAATATCAATTAACAAAATGTAGGTCATACTATTTGGTTCATAAAGTCATTGGGTCAGTGTTTTGTGACATCATAATTTACGTATATTATTTTAATATTATTACATTACATATTTGATACAGAAACCAAGTGATAGTGATAAAGAGTGATGCTTTTCACGCAAATAAACTGATTTGATTTGATTTTGATTATAGGTAGGCAGTTAGTTAGTACCTAAGCCTACCCGTTGTTAGAAATAGTGTTACTAAATTTCTCGTTTAATTTTGTGGTGTGTATTGAATTTAATAAATTAATGCCTATTTTATGTATTTTAGTTCGATAAAATAATGATCCTACCCAAATACATTTTGCTATAAACAAATTCAGTTGGGACGAGAAAAACAAACGTTATCCTCATAGGAAAATTGGAGCTACTCGTATTTTTAGTATTAATGTGATTTATTATTTTTATCAAAATACCTACGTATTATTTATTGTGCTTACATTTTATTCGGATTTCGTGCAATTAACGTGTGAGTACGCAAAAATATTATACTAATGAATTTCCATGAAAAAAATCGGCAATTTCATACTTTAACATACACTCATCCTCAAAAAGCACAAGTTGGATAATTAGCAAAATACATACAGGGTGGCCAAAACAGTGAGGTCTAAAAGAAAAATTTAGATTCCTTACATCAAGGTGTATCTAAATCACCTATGATATTGCTTAGTTTAGGAGATAGATTTAATTTTTTAATTCCATTTTGTGAAATTTTAAAATTTTATGACCTAGCAGAAGGCTTTAAATTTTTTTCCATTTTTTTGAGTTGACTTTTCTCAGATTTCTTTTTTTTAACAGATTCGTTATTAATTGCAGATGTTTGAAAAAAATAATCACCTTCCTTTTGCTAGAAACATAAAAAAATATGAGGCATACTATAATAATGAGTTTTGGTTTGGTTCTACTATGTAAGTAGATCTCAAAATACAACGTTAAACATTAACTTATGTTTCACCAATGACTTAATCTTACACTCTAGTTGAAATAAAAACCATTACGATGTGTTTAGATGCGAAACTTTAACTCTATTCAATATCATTCGATGATTCTTTCAATTAACTTTTCAATTAATCACAAAACCACTGGCTAAATTATCAGATCGCCCGCTGTCGCCGCGACACCTGTCAGCTGTCAATGTGACGTTAGTTTGACAGCTCGTGGGCGGCGGCGACAGATTTGGCGCGATAGCGACGCAAATAGTGATGGAGATGACGCAGTGATCGCTTTGAAAAAGGAAAGTGATAACTGTGTAACTCAAAATTACCATATAAAAATAACTGTGTGTTTTTTTTTTTAAATAAATGTATACCAAATTAAAATTTTGCATTTTATAATAAAAAAATCATAATTTTACCTACTAAGTATACTTAATTGCTTTTAATATATCAAATTACATCTGATTGTGCATCGCAATTTTTTTTCTATTGATTCAATAAGGAACAATCAAACAAAGGTTAATATTAATGAGTCATCCTACGACAATTTAGTCATCTAAATGGCATTATAAACTGATTCACAGAAATCAAATCATCTTAGATTAAAAGGTCAACCTAAAAATTAAATGACAGTAAATAAATTGGCAAGTAAAATAACATCAAGCAATTTGTTTGGTACCTCATAACAAAATAAGGAAACGTGATGAATGCAACATTTAACTACTCCGATTTAAGCGGCTACATTCCATTTTTAGTTGCTATAATTATTTTATTCACATACCTAATCAAATCCTTGACATTACATTTTTTTTCTTTCGGCGTGTCTGTCGTTTGTTTAGTAGGTACTCTTACGTAATACAAATACAAATATAAATACAAATATTTTATTTATGCAAACACACCGTTTACGCATACACCAATACAATACAATAGGTATTTTTATTTTAATAAATGTTACTAGTTTATTCTTTATTAATACAAAGTTTGTTTAAATAATGTCCTTTTCCGATTTTTATTACTATCCATTCAGTATAAGCAGATTTCCATTTGAATTCAATTTAAGTTAAAACAAACAGCAAAAAAATTGCAGTCGAATATTCCATTCCATGCATTAAAAATACTATGACCATTATTATTAGCGGCTTTACATCCCATTTATTGTAACTTTACGTTTTATACGTTCCGGCTGAATGCACTCGGCCCCAAGCCGCGAACTACTCATAAAAAATAAATTTCGAATTACTCGCTTCTACCCTCCTATAGCCAGTTTTTCGAAGCGAAAATTCTAGAAGGTTAGTGGTGCACCTTTTTTGTGAATTAAACGACTGTTTTGTTGCAGGATCTATTGGATAGGATATTTCGGCTTTTCGACACCGAGAAGAAGGACTACCTGGTGCAGCAAGACTGGATTGAGTATTTGAAAGGAAGACTCACGTGAGTAAGACCTGTTTTTGAATCTGTTTTTAAATGTTTTAAGGACCTTTTTGCGTTGTCATTGAACGCCGCCATTGTCGTACATTTTAGTGGTCGTTAGCGCGCTTCTAGTGATCAAGTCGTATCTATTGAAATCATATTTTATAGTTGTCCTACTGTGTTATAATATTATGATGTAGGATTGTAGGTGTCTTATACAAATTTTCATCACTTACTATTACAGTAGGTAGCGTACCTAGTTAGTACAAAGTACCTACTTACTAAATGTTCTTCTTCAAAGTTCAATCTCATACCAAAAGTCATCAAAATTTTTCATCGAGATACGAGTAATACATACCGCCTACCAAATTTCGTGCTTCTTGTAGTTGTCAGTTTTTGATGCGCGTATTAAAAAGAATCTTTCTCGGGCTACTTATCTACGTTGCGGCTATTACGAGACTGTTTCAACGAAGACACGGCTGGACAAAGACCAATATCCTGCGCTGCACACTTCATGCTTCCCGCGACCATCACTAGATCCTCAGTCCACCGAGTGGGAGGCCTGCCTACTTCCTCAACCAGTCCACTCAATACTAAAGTAATTATATTTTGTTCTGTTCCAGGGAGGAGAAGCAGCTGGATTTCATCGAGCAGGTGGAGAGCGTGGCATATGTCCTGGTGGGCAGCGGCGAGCTCACGCCGCACGCCTTCCGACAGATTTTGCAGAACAAAGTGGTGAGTACATCATCATCATCATCATGTCTAGCCATCATGGGGAGGGTAGACCAAATCCTCTTCTTCATCATCATCATCATTATCATCATCGTCACAATTATCATCATTTCAGCCACAGGACGTCCACTGCTGAACATAGGCCTCCCCCAATGATTTCCTCCTCTTGCCACTGGTAAATTGGAGAGGGTCGTGTTCCTGCAACCATCTTCAATTAACCATAGCCGCGGCACTTGGACAAGTACACGTCCTAAAAATAGCTTGTCTTTCCTCCACTTCCAGACAACACATCGGCTGATGCTGAGACGAAGTAAGAAACTCAATCATCTTTGTCAGCCTCATAAATATTACGAGAAAATACAACTCACAAATTAAAGTCCATGCACTCTTGTCATGCAATTTATGAAAAAACGACTTCTAATAATTATTTCTATGGCCCATTACTTCTTTTTTCTTCATTCATGTCAGTGTCTGTTCCATTCCAGGTGACGAACAAACTCTTCCGCGTGCTTGACACGGATGGTGACGGCTACGCCACAGCTGATGAGGTCATGGAGTTCCTGTCAGGAGTCTCCAGCAGCAGGTAACATTGTCCTTTACATGCCTCTGTAATCAATTAGACTCTTGCATTAATTGACTAATTTAATAGATTTTCGCAGTCGAGTAAACATCACTTTGATGAATGTGTTTTGTAAAAAAGATTTTTGGGTATTCACAAAATCTTGATCCAATAGGAGAGGTATTCTTAAGAGTGGTGGTTAATCCCACCAATCCATCTCTTTAGTTTACTAATGTAGCAAAGTATAATTTAGTTTGGCCCAGTTTTGGGCTTAGTTTACAACAAGCTTCAGTTCTTATCACACAACTTTATTCATTGTATTCTGATCAGCTCCATAATAAAAAACTACATTTTTATATGCCTAGATGACCTAGAGTTAAGTTAATCTTAGAATTAACACATTTTATTTTAATAAAGTAAACATTTAAAATGAAATCAGAAGTCGCAGAGATTTCCTCTTAAAACAATTAACAAAGAAACCGGTTAGAATACTTGTAAATAACAAGTTAGATCTTAGGATCGATCTAAAGATATTCCGTACAATCCATAAAAGGATATGACGTCAAATGAAGATAAAAACCAAGCGACGCGCGCGCATTTATCGTGGAAGAATAAACTCTGAATATTCCGCACGGCACGCGCCCTAACAAGTTAGACATATAGGCATAGAGTGAATAGATCAGCCAGTAAATAATAATAATAACTTAAGATTGTTTTTATAATTCGAAGATCATCATCAACAGCCCTTTACAGTCCACTACTGGACTATGAGCCTCCTCCACTATAGTGGAGGGTTTTGCCATAATCCCCACGCTTGGCAGGCGGGTTGGAGATCGCAGTTTAAAAGATTGATGTTTGTCAGAGAGCGCTGCTGCCCGTTCTCTGTTTGATGTGTAGTCCCTTAGTCGCCTCTTACGACACCCGCGGGAAGAGTAGGGGTTGGTGACAAATGTATTCTACTCTGCCGTCACCACACGGCATAATGGGTTTAATTTCCATTAATTACTGGAATATTATGGTGAAACCCTAATTTCATACGTCATGAAATTGCAATATAAGCAGGTAGGTGTACTGGTTAGTACACCTACCGTACAGTGGTTACTGCAGAGTTTTAGAAGGATTTATTAGACTGTCCGTTTATGTCTGATTGAAAAATATGTTCCGTATCAAAGTCTTCTTGATGATTTACTGAATCTAGTAGTAATTATTGCCAAATAAAAAGCACCAACTTGCAGAAAAAGTTATGTTATCTGAAGTTAGTGACCACAAGAATTGTCCTGGCTTTTCTCCCCTTCCCATATCAAAGCTCAGCAAAAACATCTAGCACGCGAGGTGCCCGCAAATTTACATTCTAGCATGTAGACTGGACTCGCCCGAGCCTTATGCAAAGCAGAATGCAGAATGCGCACTTAAGGCAGTTGACACACTGTGCAAATAATAATACGATCTTTTAGAATAATTAACTTAACAGTTCTTCTTCTTCATCATCGTGGTTGTCACAGCTGGTGTAGTAGCAAGCTTATCAATCCGTCGCCATTCTTCTCGTACTGTCTTTCTCGTACATTCGTGGAGTGGACCATTTAGTGCAGTTTTGACTTCGAGTTAACTTTTGAGTTGATTGTAGTAGCCAACAGTTTTCGGCGGTTTTTCGACGGTAGGCGTAGGTACCTACTACTACATAATATCAACAAGAATGAGGTACTTTTAAAATCAGTAGTATTTATAATTTGATTCTTAAATAGGTTATCTTCAGGAAACCATCAAGGATTATGTCGATCCTGTTTCAATTCTAAATCTATAGCAATTAAGTATTTTGTATATTTTTAAGATTAAAAATGGTATTATTTAGCTTTACTTTGTGTACAGTCGCCTTTATACGACGTCGTGTCGCGTTACTTTAAAATGGGAGAGTCTATTAGCATTTAGATGACTGGATGTTTGCGATTTTTTGCGACTTTTATCGGTGAATCGAAGAGCATTCGTTGGAGAATCTCTTGGATAAGGACAACGTTGTAATTTTATTCAACAAATGCAGATTTATGCAAGTTACAGGTATTTATTGATGTCTGGTATGTTGAATAGATTGGCGCCTTCTTGTTTAACCAGAACTTTGGTATCTTTACCTGCTTGTATCGTATAAACGTGAAATAGTACCGATACCTTTGCATTCCGGTGATTCTGCCTGTCTACTAGCAGACTATCCTTAAATATAATTTAATGTTTTGAGTTAAGTCACCTTAAAGGCTAAAAATTATGTATTAAAGGCTAAAAATTTCGTGACAGTTTAATTTTCCCCCGAGACAAACTTGACCTTCACTGGTTGAGTTTTATTGGTGGTCAAGCTGTAGATCCTGGCTACACAGGAGTTGCAGCGATGGAAACGAGAGGTGGGAATAGTCCCGTACTGGGTTTCGGGTTCTCGATTTAATAAAAACATACATACCACTCTTCTTGCAGGCCGCGGGCGGGCTTCGACAAACACAGTGTCGACAGACTGGAACAACTCTTCAAGGAGACCGTTGGTGAAGAAAAGGAGATCACCAGAGATCAGTTCAGAAAGATATTGGTGTCCAAAAATGTAAGTAAATAAATATATATTTGTTACTAAAGTCTGGTCTGTGAGCACGTAGAATTTTGTCCAATGACCCCAAGCTACCCATCCTTATCGCTCGCGCGTAATTATATTGCTCTCGCGCCTGTGCGACGCGCGCCCGCAGTGAGTGTGCGAGCGCGACAGCAACATAATTACGAGCGAGCGATAAGGATGGGTAGCTTGGGGTCATTGGACAAAATTCTACGTGCTCACGGACCGGGCTTTAGACCTCAACAACTCGTCTGGCCATAGTAGAGAGTGTAGGCTAAGCCTAGGCGCAGACCACCGACTTTTAGTTGGCCGATAGTTGGACCCGATTCTAATTTGTATGAAGAATCGGCCGATACCAAATCGGAGTGTGCGCACTTTCATACATGTCCATACTGCTTAACAGCCCGACCCAACTATCGGCCAACTAAAAATCGGTGGTCTGCGTCTGGTCTATTCCACTTTGATCACCTGGCTTTGATGACCCAGGTGAACATAGTCCACTTCCAGTGATTACTACAACACTACAACACAATTGGACAATAATTGGACATGGTGACTATTCAGAGGTGTGATTTGTATGTAGGTGATCAAAGGACACTGAAATAATAATTTAACTGGAGTTCACTTTGATCACCCAGGGCATAGTATCCATGGATGATTAAAGGACACTAAATTGTCGCTGGAAGTGGACTTTGATCACCTGGGTCATCAAAGCCAGGTGATCAAAGTGGAATAGACCCTCCGTCTAGGCTAAATCATCCATTCGTTTCTGATAAACTAGAGAGGGCATCTTGCAGTGCGTATAATGCGCGCCGTGATAAGCTTTTATACCATTTTATCGATTTTACCACCTAAAATCATCGATAAGATTTTATCACGGGCGTGCAACCTAGCCTGCCTGACGATGACAATGATGATGGAACATCATCCTTCTGCAGAAGAGATTAGACGACCATGGTGATGATGATGAGGTTACTTGCCATATTCAGTTCAATTCAATGAGGGCTATCGTTTTTATACTTAACAGTTGGCACCCCTGGCGATTGACAGGACCTTACTCTACAGTGGCGCCATCTTGATGAGTGCAAATGCGATAGTCCTCCTACCACTTTAGCGCTCACAAGTTGGCGCCACTGTCTTCGCTACTAGCAAGTGACAGGACCTTACTCTACAGTGGCGCTAACTGGTGAGCGCTAAAACGATAGCCCTCATTCAGTCTGCACATATTTGATGTACTTGAATTTGGTTATTCTTACTGTTAGATGATAACTGGCAACTAGTGGTAATTGAATTTGTTCCGGCGTTTCTTCTCAGCACTTGCCATAATAATATGTTTGTCTCGGAGCGCTGGTAGGGCCCAAAAGATAAGGAGACATGTAAAGTGCCCCATAAGGGCTACCTTTTCTTTTTTTGTATTTGACGTTCATAAGTGCCACTTGTGGTCTAAACTGAATAAATATTTTTGATTTGATTTGATATGCTTGTATCACGAGTGAGCTCACCACAATAGTCGAGCGGCGGTGGGGACCGAACCCGCGTTCCCCGGATCACGAGTCGGCCAGTCCGAGCCCTTCACCGTTCGGCTACCAACTTTAAAGAGAGAGATTAGATGACCATGGTGATGATGATGAGCTTACCATATTCTGGTCTTCCAGCCGTTCTTCACGGAGCGCGTGTTCCAAATCTTCGACGAGGACGACTCGGGCGCCATCTCACTGCAGGAGTTCATTGCGGCGGTGCACCGCTTCGCAGGACAGACGCCTGATGACAAGATTCGGTTCCTGTTCGAGGTCTACGATTTGGATGGTGAGTTTGTGCCAGTAAACGGAACAATATTCTGGAGAATAGGAACACTCTGAGTGTCTAAGGACTAGTTTCTGCCAAAGTGGAGACAGGAGAAATGAGAGGAATTGTCCGACCCAATCAATTTCCAAAACGAAACTGAGTGGAGTGGAGATTTGGAAATAATGAAATCTGATTGTTTATTCAAAACACAATTCCTCTCGTCTCTTTACCTCTTCATTTTGATAAAACCTCGCTTATAATCGGATACTTCAATCCGATTTGTTATTATAATGTCAACCTTAATTTTTTTCATGTCAGCACTATGAAAGAAAAAACTGTTTTTCACGGTTTTTACTTTCCAGAATGTTGGGAACCGATAGGTGGACGCTACACAGAACATAACTAATATTATCATAGCTGTAGTACACCTTTTTAATACGGGTTATACCTTAAATGTGAAGTCGATGTACAGTCACGGAATGAAAAGGTTCGTCAGTGTACCTACCATGAGTTTACGTTAGGTGTGCTCGCTAGCGAAAACGTCAAAAATCTCTATGGAGATTTTGTTTCTTGAAAGTAGCCGCTAGGGGCGCTGCACAATATGTCATACAATTAGGTGTCATTTTTTTACGCAGTCGCTAGCGAGCACACGTAACGTAAACTCATGGTAAGCACACAGTTTTCAAATTGATTCCTTCAACGAATCGCGAGCACATTTACCTTTTGAAACTATGTTACAGAATAATCTCGAGATAGAGAAAATAATCTTTAACTGTTCGTCAGTAAAGTTCAAAATTATTCAGATCAAAGTGACGATTTATCTTGTCAAGAAGATTATTATGATTGATAAACTAAAACCTTCTTGTTGGTTTTGATTTGATTTGATTTGATTTGACTTATTCGTTAGCAAACGTCATATTTATTTAAATGTTAGCAGCACTGTTTCTTGTACTGTTACGTTGGCAGGTTTGACTCTTACAGTACCTAGTGCAAGCGAAAACCGACACTAAGGTGACGAACCTTTTCATTCCGCGACTGTACTAAGGTACTAAATCTGCACTATCACTCATGGTTTTCTTCCACAGGCGACGGCCTCATCCAGCACAGAGAACTACAGCACGTAATGCGAGCCTGCATGGAGGAGAACGGCATGCAGTTCAGTGACGAACAGCTGCTCGAGCTCACGGGCGCCATGTTTGAAGACGCGGATACTGAGAACAGAGGCGCCATCACTTTTGAGGCGTTGAGGCATCAGCTGTCCAAGCACGACGGTCTTTTGGAGAATTTGTCTATTAGGTAAGTGAGCAGTCAGCGAAGAACAGCTGCTTGAGTTGACAGGTGCCATGTTTGAAGACGCAGATACGGAGAACAGGGGTGCCATTACTTTTGAAGCGTTGAGGCATCAGCTGTCGAAGCACGACGGGCTTTTGGAGAATTTGTCTATTAGGTAAGTAAATGAACAGTTAGGAGCAGCTGCAGCAGAGAATAGCTCGAGCTAATGGGCGCCATGTACAGAGAACAGGGGTGCCATCACGTTTGAAGCGTTGAGGCACCAGCTGTCCAAACAGGATGGGCTTTTGGAGAATTTGTCTATTAGGTAAATAAGCAGTTAGGAACAGCTGCTCAAGCTGACTTGCGCCATGCATAGAGAACACGGTCGCCATCACCTTTGAAGCACGATGGGCTTTTGAAGAATTTGTCCATCAGGTAAGTGACCAGTTCAGGAACGAGCAGCTGCTTGAGTTGACGGGCGCCATGTTTGAAGACGCGGATACAGAAAATAGGGGCGCTATCACCTTTGAAGCATTGAGGCATCAGCTGTCCAAGCACGATGGACTTTTGGAGAATTTGTCTATTAGGTAAGTGAGTTCAGCAACGAGCAGCTGCTTGAGTTGACGGGCGCCATGTTTGAGGACGCGGATACGGAGAACAGAGGCGCTATCACTTTTAAAGCGTTGAGGCATCAGCTGTCGAAGCACGACGGGCTTTTGGAGAATCTGTCCATCAGGTAAGTTTAAGTAAGCAATAAGGAGCAGCTGCTCGAGCCTAATGGGCGCCATTTACAGAGAACAGGAGTGCCATTACCTTTGAAGCACTCAGGCATCAGCTGTAGAAGCATCAGGGGCTTTTGGAGAAATTGTCCATCAAGTAAGTAAGCAGTACAGCAAAGAGCAGCTGCTTGAGCCCACGGGAGCCATATTCGAGGAACAGGGGCGCCATCACGTTTGAGGCACTCAGGCATCAGCTGTCAAAGCACGATGGGCTTTTGGAGAATCTGTCCATCAAGTAAGTAAGCAGTTCAGTAACGAGCAACTGCTTGAGTTGACGGGCGCCATGTTCGAAGACGCAGATACGGAGAACAGGGGCGCTGTTGACGACGCGCACTTTATAACGTTAATTTTAAAATAACTGGTATTTCGATATGCATATCGTTATTTCGTTATTTTGTATCGGTATGGTTTGAATATTTTTTATTGTACCAAATGTGGGTATCCGCGAGCGATGTTGCTCCGTGCGCGTTGAAATTTAAAAGTCAGTCTGNCATAGCTTGCTTATGGTGGTTGAGCGTCGTGGTCCACAACTTCAGCTTTATAATATTAGTAAGTATAAGTATAGATATATTCCACGATATAATACGATATGATAGGAATATAACGTAAAGTATTTTATGCTAGATTTTGCTTAATTTTATTCTTCTTTTTGTGGTAACTTTATTAATTAAAGAATTTGCTTTAATACATTAATATTTACTAATTTACAAATGATTAATGCCTAAAATTCTAACACACGCGACTGCTATAGTTTTTTATCCGTGTCCGTGTAACTTTTCGAATCGCAATAAATTACGTTGTTCCATCTTCGGGCGTTTTCCTTCGAACTACTACACCACATCTTACAAGTTCGAGCCGGATCATCAGCGGGATCTCATGTTCCACACCCCGCCATCGCTAAAAATGGTATCCACAAGAAGCGCAGCTTTGAAGGAGCGGTCAGAGATAGAACAAAAGGATGACCAGAACCAGCGACTGCAGGGATCTTCCGAGCCTACATATGGGAATAAATCACAGTACGAAGTTNGTTCGAGCCGGATCATCAGCGGGATCTCATGTTCCACACCCCGCCATCGCTAAAAATGGTCTCCACAAGAAGCGCAGCTTTGAAGGAGCGGTCAGAGATGGAACAAAAGGATGACCAGAACCAGCGACTGCAGGGATCTTCCGAGCCTACATATGGGAATAAATCACAGGACGAAGTTAAATTATCAAAACTTTGCTCCAAAGCCGTTGGCGCGGGTAGCGCTGTCAAAGTGGAAAACCAACCGCCTCGGCCCGTGTCCGTTACGAGTTCAAAGTACAAACGGTCAACTTCGTCATCTGTGCTGGCAAGAAGAAAGCAGCTGGAGCTGGAAGCAGCAAGGGAAAAGGCAAGAATTCAAATGGAATTAATTGACAAAAAACTGGAAGCCGATTTAGCCGAATTAGAGGATGAGAAATCACACCCTGAAGGCACTTGTACTGATGGTGAGGTGGAGAAGTGGCTAGAACGCAGTGAGCAAGAGCTGGAACAAGCACAGGCAGCCCCCCATATGGAAATCACTTCGGGCTGTCCGTGTCCGCCAGCGGCTAACAACCCTGGCACTGATGGGACGATCCAGATGCTGGCTACTGCACTAAAGGACCTGGCCGCCGCTACCGCCGCTAAAAGTGACCCAAATACCGGCTTGCTGAGTCGTTTATGTACGCCAAGGGATTTGCAGGCATTCTCTGGCGACCCGATGGAATGGCTACAGTTTAAACAGGCGTATGAAGAGTCAACACAAGTGTGCAACTTCAGTCCTAAAGAAAACCTTTGGAGACTAAGGAAGTGTTTACACGGACCTGCAAGGGAGGCCGTCGCGTCCCTTCTTGTCACAGCAAGTGAACCCGACAAGATAATGGCTACTCTGGCGTTGAGATTTGGCAATCCAGACATTATTGTCAACAAAATCATACAAGACATCAAGAAAATGCAGTCAATGTCTCCAGAGTATCACAAAGACATAGTATCTTTTTCTGTAAAAGTGCAAAATTGTGTGGCAGCAGTACAAGCAGTTGGTAGAAACGAATACCTACAAGGCATGAACCTAGTATCGATTATACTGAGCAAATTGCCGGCTGTGCTAATCTCAAAATGGTCTGATTATTGTTTTCCACTTATTGCCGAAGCCAAGAAGTCACGTATGGAAATATTGGCAGACTTTTTGTACGAGGAAGCAGTGAAAATATCAAGTACAGCAAATATAAACATCGTGAGTACGCGCAGTGAGCATGCCTACAAGTCCAAGGGCTACGAAAGCTACGGTAATCGTCAACAAACTGTATTAGTGAACGCGGACAAAGGTGATAAGTGCCAGTATTGCCGTGTCTCAAAACATAAGCTTACAGAGTGCAAACTGTTTAACAAAGCGTTGCGTAAAGACAGGTGGCGTTATGTGAAACGGTACGGTCTGTGTTATAAGTGTTTGTTATCGCGTCATGAGCGAGCGACCTGCTCAGCGCCCGCGTGCGACAAGGGCGGCTGCGGGCAGGCGCATCACCGTTTGCTACACTACGCGGCGGACAACAATGGTGACGGTCGGGACACTAACGGCGCCCCAGAAGGGGTAACTACGTCCTCCACTGAGACGGTAACTCATATAAACGTGAGTAGTCAAACTGTACTTTTAAAAGTGTTACCTATCAAAATACATGGACCAAACGGCATTATTAACGCGACCGCTCTGTTAGACGATGGATCGACTGTGTCATTAATAAGTAACCGGTTAGCTGAGCGCGCCGGCCTGCGCGGCCGCCGAGAGACTATGCGTGTGTGCGGCGCGTGGAATAACACTGAAGTTGTGTGCGATACGACAGTGTTGAACTTTGACATTTCGGGCGTAGATAATAAGGTTTATTCTGTAAAAGCTCGTAGTGTAAACAATTTAAATTTGCCATTGCAAGATGTATCTTTGATTGATTTTAATAAGTATCCTTATTTACATAATATGTTAAAAGAAGATAAATTGTGCTTTTCTAAAATGAAACCTGATGTACTTTTGGGACAAGATAACTATCATTTATTGTTACCTTTAGAAATAAGCTTAGGTAAACCTAATGAGTTGTCGGCAACACGCACTCCCTTAGGCTGGTGCGTACACGGTTGCGCAATGGTAGGGATGACTCATAGCGCGAATGCACCTCGCTCGACCCTCCTTACTTGCCAGATAGATAATGTCACACGTTGTCACAGTGAGTACAGTCTTCAGGATCTCCATGACGATTTACGGCGTTCGTTTTCAATCGAGTCTATGGGTATCTCAGCTAAACCTAGACAAAATTCTGACGACATAAAAGCGCAAGCTGTGCTTGAGCGCACCGCAGTCCTGATTGATGGTAGGTGGCATGTTGGGCTCCCCTGGAAGGATGAAAATTGTAGGATGCCAGATAGCTACTCCTATGGCGTTTTCTAGGTTAAAAGGAGTGGAAAGAAAGATGTCAGCCGACGAAGGTTACGCACACAGATACGCTGAAAGGGTAAGTCATTTATTTGAAAATGATTTTGCTGAAGAATTAAAGGTAAGCGATGTGGTTTCACCACGATCGTGGTATTTACCCCATTTCGGGGTAGATAATCCAAACAAAAAGAAACTTAGGTTGGTTTTCGACGCGGCCGCGAAAACTGATGGTTTATGTTTAANAACCAGAACGAAACGATATAAAAATGCTATTTTTTTTATTTATTTACAAGCTTTAGGTATATTGACTTCACTTGTTAGTATGTGTGGGACAAATATTGAAACTGAATTTAAGACCAGTTCTCAACCGATTGAGCTGAAATTTGGTATACTTATGTAAGTACAATGAAAATGCAATGTTATGGTACCATTAAGCTGGTTTGATGATGGAGTCAGGAGGTGGCCATAGGAACTCCTAAATGAAACGGCGGCATCGCATCGAATTTGGGTTCGTTGGATTTGTCTTTTTGAGCACTTTAGTACTAGATGATGTCCAGGGTCCTGATGATGCAGTCAGGAGGTGGCCATAGGAATTCCTATACGAAACGGAAACTTATCGACTTTGGGTTTGTTCGATTTGTCTTTTCGAGCACTTTGGTGCTAAATTGTATTGTAATTGAACCAAGGCTCTGAGATTGAGATACTATAGACTAAGAGCTGGTGAACGCCAGACCTACGTCATTTTATAAAAGCTGAAAGTTTGTCAGCGTATGCTCCCAATATAGGTTAGAATGTTGGTGGATTATGAAGTTTGGGTCATCGTTGCTTTGGCAGCTATCCTAAAAAAACTGCCTGGCAAGGAGTTGGAACTGTCAAAACTGTGTGGCTGATGTCGAAACAACTTCTAATCATTTCCCAAATATTATACCTAAAAATCAGATTTTATGGTAGGTATAACGAAAGTAGAATTACAGTCTATTGAATTTACTTACAGAAAAAGCCACCGTAAAAGTTAGGCTTACGTTAAACCATAAACGCTGATTTTTATATAAAATATTAGGGCAATAATTAGAAGTAGTTTCCTCATCAGCCATACAGTTTTGACAGTTCTACCTCCTTGCCAGACAGTTTTTTTAGGATAGCTGCTAAAGCCACGATGACCAAAACTTCATGATTCACCAACATTCTATCCTTTATTGGGAGCATACGCTGACAAACTTTCAGCTTTTATAAAATGACGTAGGTCTGGCGTTCACTAGCTTTAAGTCTACTACTAAAAATCTTAATGCGGTTCACAGAATACATCTACCTACCAAGTTTCAACACATGACGAATCTATAAGGGTTCCGTTTTTTGCCATTTGGCTACGGAACCCTAAAAAGTGTAAAATAAAATTATAATAATAAAATACTTTTTTAAAAACAAGCTTTTATTCTGAAATGCAGTTGTTACTAAAACCTGTGCTAAAACGAAAAAAATAATTGTATGCAAGGTTCAAATAATTTCGAAAGCTTGTAGCGCAAACATAAAAGAGGAATAAATTCCGTGCGCGACACAAGCTTTCGAAATTATTTGAACTTTGCATACAATTACTTTTTTCGTTTTATTATCATAAAATATGTTAACGGATTAACGATTAACGTTAACTTGCGTTAAATCTTGCTAAATGTAACGTTTTAACGTTTAACGAAGTTAATTTTTTTATTAACGGTTTAACGATTAACGAAGTTAACTATTTGATTAACGGTGCCCAGCTATGGGTTTCACCACGATCGTGGTATTTACCCCATTTCGGGGTAGATAATCCAAACAAAAAGAAACTTAGGTTGGTTTTCGACGCGGCCGCGAAAACTGATGGTTTATGTTTAAAGGATTATTTGTTTAAAGGCCCAGATTTATTGGCATCACTATTAGGAATTATCCTGCTTTCGCCTCCGAGATTTATTTTACCATGTAGTACCCCTGTACGACAAGCCAATCCGCACACAATATTCAGCGCAGTAGTAGTAAAAAACAAAAGAGCGGGCAACCCCACCCCTACCACGCTGTGGGCTCGGTGTCCGAGCGGTCTCATTCCTTTGTGCGCACGCGCAACGACCGCACGCAGTATAAGAAAAATGCTTAAGTGACGTCACCAGGACGTTTTNGTGTTTAAACGATTATTTGTTTAAAGGCCCAGATTTATTGGCATCACTATTAGGAATTATGATGCGCTTTAGGGAAAACCAGTTTGCTGTCACAGGTGATATAAAAGATATGTTTTTAAGGGTAAAAATTATACAGGCAGACCAGAATGCATTTTAATTTTTATGGCGTAGCAACCCTTCTGAAGCTGTCAAGGTGTATAAAATGACCTCGTTAATATTTGGTGCGAATTGCTCCCCATTTATTGCTCAATTTGTAAAAAACAAAAATGCACAAAGGTTTGAATCGTCCATGCCCGAAGCGGTTGAAGCTGTTTATAAACAACATTATATGGACGATTATATNCTATGCCGGAAGCGGTTGAAGCTGTTTATAAACAACATTATATGGACGATTATATAGATAGTTATTCAGACGAGGATACGGCGATTTCAATGGTTAGTGATATTTCAGGCATACATAAGTCAGGTGGCTTTGAGATGCGTAACTGGACAAGCAACAGTGAAGCTGTGCTTAACAGCCTGCCGAAAGAAACCTTAGGCACCTCTGCCGTAAGGTTTAAAGTCGACCAGCAGTATGAAGGTGAGCGAACGCTTGGACTTTTTTGGCACCCGAGTGGAGATACGCTTGGTTTTGACGTTTCTATGAAGCGTGTGCCCGAGGAAATCATCAATGGTAAGCAAAAACCTACCAAAATAATTTTGCTAAAAGTCGTTATGTCAGTTTTTGATGTTTTTGGGTTCTTATCACCATTTACTATACAGGGAAAAATTATGTTACAAGAAACTTGGCGCACGGGCGTAGACTGGGATGACGTAATTCCTGATAACATTTTTTATAAGTGGTTAGAATGGCTCGCACTACTACAGACGATTAAAAATATACGTATACCTAGATGGTACCAGGCGCGTATACCTGCTACGGAGGCGGAGCCTATCATGCCCGGCGCGCGTGATTCACAGGGAGCGAGCCGGCCAGCAGAGTGCTACGTGAATGCACATGACAACCGAGTCCGGTGCCTCTCAGCTCCTCAATCAGGTCATTTACGAATAAGTTAAATAGGTCCGGCGAGGTAAGTCCACCTTGACGAACGCCGCACTTTAGTCTATAGGCACTAGAGTGCGCGTCGCCCCATCTCACACAGTTAGTTTGGTTCCCNAGGAAATCATCAATGGTAAGCAAAAACCTACCAAAAGAATTTTGCTAAAAGTCGTTATGTCAGTTTTTGATGTTTTTGGGTTCTTATCACCATTTACTATACAGGGTAAAATTATGTTACAAGAAACTTGGCGCACGGGCGTAGACTGGGATGACGTAATTCCTGATAACATTTTTTATAAGTGGTTAGAATGGCTCGCACTACTACAGACGATTAAAAATATACGTATACCTAGATGGTACCAGGCGCGTATACCTGCTACGGAGGCGGAGCCTATCATGCCCGGCGCGCGTGATTCACAGGGAGCGAGCCGGCCAGCAGAGTGCTACGAAGCTGCTACGGTTAACGCTACGAACTGTGCTATGGGTACGTATAAAGCAAGCCAATTGTTTAAAGATAGGTCAACGAATATAAACGTCACTGCTACGAAACCAATGCATTATAAGAACTTGGAGCTACATGTATTTAGCGACGCGTCAACCAAAGCGATGTGTGCCGTAGCCTATTGGCGGTGGATAGACGTTGATACAAACGAAATCTGTGTATCATTCATAGCAAGTAAGTGCAGAGTGGCCCCTGTGAACTTTGTAACAGTGCCACGTTTAGAGTTGCAGGCTGCCTTGCTGGCGTGTAGATTGGCTGATACGATTTCGAAGGAACACAGGCTTGAGGTAAAGAGGCGCGTATTTTGGTGTGATTCAACAACTGTTTTGCACTGGATATGCAATAATGCGCGCAACTATAAGACGTTCGTAGCAAACCGGTTGGGCGAGATCGATGAACTGTCACGAATGGAAGAGTGGCGATACNAAAATCTTACCTATAACTGTACCCAGGGATATAGGTCTATAGTTACTAACGCTGGACAGGTCACCGGTTTTTTACACCGGTTTTGGATTAGATATAAATAAAAATGTCATTTAAAGTTTGTAAAAAAAAATCCTAAGTGTCTAAAATAATAATAGGGGATGAAAGTGTGTATGGAAATAATAATATGTAAGGTTTATGTGGGTCCCGTGGCGCGGTGCGGTTTTCTGGGGAAATACCCTAGTAGTGTGCTTATCTGAACGAACAGACACGTGAGGCTACACTGCGAATTAATTACAAATGCGAATTATGCTTACACGTTTTTTCCTTAATTTAATTAATTTTCTCCGTGAAATTAGACAACTTTTAGAGTATTTATAACATAAATGTGAAGTCTTGTTTGAAATAATAATAATAAATAATAAATAAAACGTTTATTGCCAGTAAAACCAAATACGTCCTTATATCTAGCGGATACCGCACTAAGCGAAGCTTGTATCGCGGTAACCTTTAAAACTTGTTACACAAAAGAATCTTTACAAGTGGTCTGGGAACATTCAGATCAGACTATTACTAACAGTTTCATAATGTTATTAACCAGGTAAATGAAATTACTTACAATATTTTAATGTACTACTTAGTCTCTATAAGTATAATAGTCATCTTAATAAACTAATTGTAGGAAACTATGTTTAAAAATTAAACAAAATATATAAAAGAAAACAGAGTGTAGGTATAATATTATGTGAGTGATGTATGTGTGATGTGAAATCAAATTAGTATATTATTATTACGCGGGTAAAAGTGACTTAGGTAATAATCTATACTAATATTATAAAGAGGGAAGATTTGCATTTTGTATGTTTTATACGAGTATGTTTGTATTGATTAGGCTCCGATATTACTGGACCGATTTCAAAAACTCTTTCTCCGTTAGACTCCTCTAATCTTTTTCTGATTGATGAATTTAAATAAAAATAGTTTAAATTTAGCTAAAAAAGATGGCGACATAGAGCGATTTGTCTATTAACTAGAGACGTTACTACATACTAGTGTAGATCTGCTGAATCGGTAAATAGGGTTCAATATTAATAAATACAACATTGATGAACATGATGAGGCATATATTATTCATTTTTTTTTTGTTAAATACAAATAATTGTCAAATACTTCTGCGAAGCCGAGGTGGGCCGCTAGGCCCGCTAGTAATTTGTAGTATTTTGTAAGTATATTTAATTACTCAAGTCAGTTGTATTTGTCTATCACTTCTAGTAGGTACGGATAGAAGTTCTCAGTCATATACCGACCCCAAAAAAAATCGACGTGGTTAAATTTTTTGTACGGGAGCACTTGGTAGTGCACCACGTTGGGCAGCGACGACCTCAGCAGCTCCGCGTCTTCCACCGTGCCCAGGAAGTCCTGCTCGCCCACGAACAAGGCCGATTTCATCCTCACCTTCTTTAAATCAAACTCGGGTGGATTCAGTCTTTTATAAACTTTCAAATTCTCTAAAGAACCATAATCAAATCTTGCAAATTTCTTACTCCGAGCCACCTGCATCAAATGCTCTAAAACCTTAAGTGATGTGCCTCCCGGGAAATGGCCAAATATTGTATTCTGGAATTCCGGCTCTAATCCATCGGTATCTTCTCCAGTAAGCGAAAATAGTCCTATTTTAATGCACAAAGTGTAACCACCAGGGACGAGACATATTGCTTGAAAAAGTGGCGCTGTCTGATTGTAATTTTCAACTTCGTAAATATTCAGTAACTTTAAGCCATCTACCAGCAGCGGCCCCAAAGCCACTCCCACAGCTGCAGCGCCGCGTAAATTTTGTACAAAACTTATAGGAGCCAACGATATGCCAATTTTGATTTTATCGTTATACTCCGGCAACTCGGCTCCCAGGACGTACAGCATCGTGGTGCCGACCGAGATCCCGATGGCCATGAGTTTCGCCTGTCCGGTCTTCTCCAGAATGAAGTCTATGGTGGGTGGAAGGTCGTATATGGCTTGTTCATAGAAGCTGAAATCGAAGAACTGACTTGGTTGCGTGTCAGGATCTAGAGTGATGTGCTTCCGCGAGTACCTGGAGCCCCGCAAGTTGATCGCCCACACGTCGAACCCGCCTCGCCTGGCGAGAGTGATGGCCAGAGATGTATTTCCTCGATCAATCCAGCTGTCCGCGGTGAGCGTGTTGCCATGTATAAGCAGTACAGGGCTAGAGACATTCCCAGGAATGTGGAACAGCGACAATATATAACCATCCTTGGTGATGATGTTTTCTTGCTCAGCAGGAAATCCGTATTTGGTTGCAATTTCAGGAAACGTGAGTCTCCCATCTTCTGATAGTTTGTCAGGCTGAGGTTCCAGTAGCAGTGAATTGACTGTTCCACTGATGTGTAGTATTATGGTACAAATTATGCCTAACGCCAAACTATTTCGAACAGTCATTGTATTATTGTATGTTTTCCGAACAATATAAAATATATTTTTTTTCTGAAAGGCAGTCAACTGTATAATGAATACAGTACAAGTAAAAAAAATATTCAGTGTATATTGTCGTTTATATTGCAAAAGAATTAGAATGGAGATAATCCGTATATTTGGAACTAAACAAATCCGGACATTCCGGGTTTTGTAGTCATTTTCGTATCCATCATAAAGATCTTCAGTAGTAGTAGGGCTCTAAGTTCGGATTCATTCTAATATTCTCGAAAATTGTAATCTGACCTCAGATTCTAATGAATGGATGAGGACTTACTTACTTACTATTTCTCGGCATACTTTTCAGGTTCAGAAACACTCGAGCAGCAAAAAAAATCGAGAAATTCAAATAATCCAGTCAATTTATGTCTACTGCGATTTCTTTCGCACTAACCTTTGTAGTTGCGCTAAACCTTTGCAATTATCTTTTCAGTAGGTAAAATACAATTTCAAATACTTCTTATTTTAAAGAAAACGGAACACAAAAACAGAAATTCCGGATTTCCGTAATTTTGTGCCTTTTGCCATCCCTAAACCTGAAAAAGTATAATAGGTATCGGAATGTGTTGTAGAGTCAGGTGCTTTCATCATCAATATTCATCATGACCCGAAACACAATAGTAATTATCTTCGTCTAATTAATTTAATACTTACAAAAATAACAGCACATCAGACTATACAATTTTGTTGTAAAATCGCTTCTATTTCTTAGCACATAAGATACCACCGTATAAAGCTTCATGTGCCGTGGTCATCATTTCATAAATATGTTTTATTATGGTAGCTAATTGTTTCGAATGAGGTTAAGGACCTTATTTATTTACCTTAACCAAGGTACCGTCGCACAGTAGCTTGGGGTCATTGTACGATTTGTACGAAATTCTATCTGCTCTGCGACCGGACTTTAGAAGTAAGAAGTAACCTCATCTAAAGCTGTACTATTTACTTACCTATTTATTCTCAGCCCACAGCTTTACAGCAGTCATCTACTACAAAATACCCGTTGTTCCCATCCCAATAGGCGTGCCCCCACAGATGGGAATTTAATTATATATTTTTATATTTTTTTATACTCCCATTGTCCCCACCGGCCAGAGGAATAGCGACGGTGAAAAAAAATTATTTTAATCCCGTTAACCCCTCTTTACTTTCCCCAAGACTCAAGTCTGTATTCGTTCCGAAATTCGTTTCGTTCCGTTTAGGTACCGAACAAAATGAACAATTACTAAATCCTTTGTTATTCGGTGCTTAAGATCTATTAAATTGATTTTTGTTTTCTCTACTGTATAAGTACCCTAACCTTGCAAATAGAAAGGCTGTGTATATCTGTAATTGAATTCATTTACGCATCACGTGTTAACCATGTTAAAATGTATGAACTGTATGTGACTTTGTTGGTGTACCTAATAAATAAATAAATAAAATTAAACGCGATTAGACAATATTTAGACAGAAAACAAGCAAAATCTCGGACGGACAGACAGACATGATGAAACTATAAGGGTTCCTTGTCAGGACTACGGAACCCTAAAAAAGGAAATATTAGGGTCTTATTTAATTTAATTATTTTGAGTTTGCCTGTGACTGACGCTGCAACGGCTGAAATTTCAGACATAAGACGTTCGAATATTTCATTGTTATCTAATCGGATATTGCTTTTAATTTCCTTTTATTGTGTTAATTAAATAATGCAATGTAATTATTAAAAGTAATAATTATTGCTATTTTAGGGTTCTGTACCCAAAATGATGCCTACGAGACCCTATTATCATGACTCCTTCAGCTGTCTTTCTGTCAAAACAGCTGAATAACTTGTGAATATTGTTTGTAGATTTAGGTACAAATTGAATAGTTCATTCAACCTTGCGTAAAAATCTTCAATGTTTTTTTGTGTAGCTCATAATTAAATTGGGTTTGTTCGTTGAAATGTTGGTTAAGTACTTCTTAATAAATCAGAAAACCCTTCATGATTCAGACTTTCAAGCGATAGAAACAATAAAGCTTTTATGTCATAAGTTTTTTTTTATAATAAACTATAAGTTTAATTTTACATTAAAATAAAAAGGTTATTTTTAAAAATTATTTTTGTTCGAACTAAGCATGATCAATTTTATTACGAAGCGAATAGTTATAAACAAAATATTTATGGATTTTTCAGGCTATTTTTGATGTTTTAATTGAAATAATGTAACCCTTTGGTTGCATGGAAATTCAGTCTCTTTAGACTGATTTTTTTTAAGTTAACATGTTTTGTGGTTCATTGCTCAATACGAATCAAATTAAATTAGAAATATCATTGTTAAAATTATATTAATCCAAAACAACCATCATTAACAGCAAGCAACTATTAGTACTAACAATAGCTACTGGCTACCCAATACCCATATTTCTCAGACCTAGGTTGAGAGTCCATAATTTGCAAGTACCTACGAATAGGTACTTGCTTCCAAAAATTAAGTCTAAGACCTTAGACTCCAGATACTGGCTTTGGCAACCTCACCTCACCATATTTTCCAGAGACCTCGCTAAACTACACCGTAATACTGCGGCGTAGTCTTTAATGGAAAAAAAAAACTTTGATATCGCGTTTTAAAATCGTAATACCAGAACGCCTAACGCCATCTGCCAGCAATGATTCGTAACGCAAATGGCGTGCTTTTTGCGTTACTACGGTCGACTCTCCAGTAAGAAATATTACTCGAAACTTGCTGCAGAGAGCGCTACTAGAAGAAACAGTGTAAAGCCACAATAAATGCGTCATATCATGTCGTATCATATTTACCCGCGATAATTATATGCTCTGCGAAAACGCATAAAATTATAACCAGCTATCCATTATTAAAATACTATCTTTCTTATTTTAAACTCGATATTATTTATTTGCAATTTTATTCACGCCTATTATCAAAAAACTTTTTGCGCTCGTGCTGCTCTCTGGCGGCAGATCATTGAAGTAATACACGCCCTGTTTGAGAACATGTAGAGCAGCTGGTATATTAATGAATTTTATGTAAATTATTCGAAACAGTTAAAAATATTGAATGTTTTATTCCCGTGAAATGTTATTTGGGTGTTTTAGCTTCAGTTCAAGGCGTTATTTCTGGTATTATGGTTTCAGTTTTTATGAATAAGAGAAACAAATCTATAGTAGCTACTGTATATCGTCTATATTTTCAGAAAAATCTGATCTATCGTCGTCAATCAGGTATTGTAACTATATTTGACAACTTTTAAAAAATAAGAGGAGTAGGCACATTAGAAACTAGGTATATTTAATAAATTAAAGTATCAGGCGTTACATCGCTGTATTATTAATTACAGACTTAATTATTTAACATTTAATTTCAAATCTATCATCAGGAGAACTTGCTCAGTAAATCATCCAAAATGGGGATCAAGTATTCTGGTATATGTTTTCCCCACACGAAGTCTATGTGGCTGAACGTTTTTCGCTCCATCACATGGTAGTCCGCTACGTTGGGAAGCACGTCCCTCAGTCGCTCTGCATCCTCCTCCACGGCGAAGTTATCGTTCTTTCCCACCAGGAGAGCAACGGGCATTGTCACATTCGCCAAATCATATTCAGGGGGTGAAATTGATTTATACAGTATTCTGTTTTTAATTACGCCATAATCATACTGCGCAAAGCCGCTGCTTCTGGTAATTTGGACTAAATGGTTGAGGTTTTTGCGTGATGTACCGGCTGGGAAATATCCCACGGCGCGTTTCAGAAAATCAGGTTCAATCTCGTCTTTGTCACACCCGACCACCGCGCCGATGCCTATGACGCACGCCTCGTAGCCCAGCAGGCCCCGGTTGCAGACAAATCGCGCTAACTCAGCCGAAGCCGACCGATCAGGCAGGACCTCCTCAGTAAATGTGATTTTGTAAAATCCATTTACTACCGGCCACACCGCAATTAGATCAGATGCAAATGGCTTAGCATGATGGAAATATGCAATAGGCCCTAGAGCTATCATAACTGACACCTTTTCATTGTACTCCGGCATCAACGATCCCAGAACGTAGAAAATGGTATTACCTTCTGAATGTCCGATTGCGGATAATTTAGCTTTACCAGTTTTTTCTAAGATGAAGTCGATAGTAGCGGGTAGATCGTGTATTCCCATTTCGTGCAGACTGTAATCCCAGAAAGCCTTATCAAGGTCGGGTGACAGTTTAACGTGTCTCCGAGAGTACTTGTTACCTCTGCAATTGGTTATCCACACGTCGTAGCCTGCCTCGGCCAGGTTCAGAGCTACGGAGTCATTGCCTCTGATTACAAAAGTATCGGCTGAGTCAAGGACTCCGTGCACCAGCAGGACAGGCTGCTTGGACTCATTGCCCGTGATGCGGAATAGTTTAAGGATATATCCGTCTTCTGTAACAACGTCAAAGTCTTCACTTTCTCGGCCATATTTGACAATCAGCTGGTTGAAATCTTCCGGTGTGTTGGCACTTGCAGCCGAATTTGATATCAATACTAGGCACGATAGCAGAATCAGAAACATTTTTTCGCATTGATAGGTTGATGGCAGAGCAAGAGGTCTAACACGGCCTTATGTAGGCAAAAACATGTGAGTGAGTGTAAACAGGTGCGAACCTTGTGGCTTAAGTATATTTTTCGCGAATGTTTCAAATTATCAAATACATGGTGACCAAAAAAAAAACAAGTTTGTCTATATTTTGATAAGCCTTCTAACCTTCGAATGGATCAAGGTAGAGACCAAAATTTTTGAAAATGTTTACCCTTAACCTTTTGAGGTTGAAGGTATTGCCATACCTACTTATCACATCCCAAAAAAAACTTAATGTAGGTAAAATAAATGCCAATATGATAAAAGGGGACTGAAAGGCGTTTGAAGGACTACACAAATAATTGTTAACTATTCTCAAAAAAAACCCATAAAAATGTAGTTACAATGTTATAATCTGTAAACCTTCAATTTATAAATTAAGTTTAATTTATTCGCATTGTCATTAAGTAAAAAGATAAAAATAAGGTCCACTGGTATTCTCAAAAGTTATCTAACTAGGGTTATAGTGACGGTTTAGTGCCTAAGTGATTTTTAGTATGAAAAAAAGTAAAATTGCACGCCCACGTCATGCGCTGGCGCCGGCAATGTGCCAGAGGTCTAACTGTTTGAAAGCTCATTTATATACGTCGTGTAGAGATTCACACGCGTTGCCTAACAAATAACCTTAAAATAATAAGGCCGTGACTTTATAGTTATATTTTGACCTTACCTCCACTCTGTTATCAAAATTACGAGTAAATAAGATTCCTCATCATCATCATCTGCGTAAAGCAGTCCACTGCTGGACACTTGGACAGGGATCCCCTTTTAAGTGCCATTTCACTCTGTCTTCGGCTGGTCGCATCCAGCTTCTTCAAATAGTTTGCATGTCTTCACTCCACCTAGCTAGGGTCACAAAATAAGCTAAAGATCTCTTTAAGACCTGGAGGATTCCAGAACTTGTCTACCCCAGCTATTATCCGTTCTACGGCAGGCATAATGCTTATTCTTTTTAAAGAATAGGTATTATTAATTTGTATTACACAAATTCGTACAAATACAAAACTCGTGGTAAGCTAAATAAGCTTGTGTCACGAGTGGGCTCGATAGTCGAGCGCCGGCGGGGTTCGAACCCGCGTTCCTTGCTTCTTCGGCCTGCTAATTTGGTGTATTACGACTTTATCTTACAAAAATATTAATCTACGAAGCTGAATATAAATTTTTATTATTTATTCATATGTATAACATTTTCCTAACACCATGTATTGCTATGTACGTGGTCACAAAACGTGTTATAACATTCAGCACGACTATCAATAAATGAAGCTTGTTATATTAAAATTCATGAATTCATGAACGTTTAATTCAGAACCTAGCAAAAAAACTTAACTAGAAAAACCTAAAAATACCGCGGAACTACATACATTGTGTGGTAGGTACATGCACTAGATTACGTTATAATAGTGGTGGGTAAGCCCAGTATTTACCAGTATTTACTGTGGTAATATTAGTCTTAGGACTTACTTTGTTTTGTTTAGTTTCAGCTTTCGTTGTACCTTAATTGATATTTATTGTCCGTGGTGCATAATCTTTTTTGTCACCTGTCATCCGCTTTGCAATGGAGGGAAGTCGAACCTTAATTTCGAACTCCTCCTATGTTCTTCTGATTAATTTTGTTGCGGGTCCAATGACAGTTTAACTTTCGACCGGGACAAACTTGACCTTCATTGGTTGGGTTTTTGTGGCGGTCAAGCTGTAGATCCTGGCTACACAGGAGTTGCAGTGGCGGGAACGAGAGGTGGGAATAGTCCCGTTTCGTTGTACCTTCATGTGAACATCTGTCGAGTTTTAATTCTATCTTATTGATAATCTAAAATAGATTTTTATCACCATGCAAAATTAAATAACCATAGAGTAGGAACTCATAATTTAATGTTAGTATTTCCGAATATTAGTTTATCGTGGGTTTATATGTAAACTGTTAAACTTACCCCAAACATTATAAAAAGTTCAAATTGAAATTGAAATCACATAATTACCTATTAGATCATTATGTGATTTCAATTTCAATAACAGCCATTAATAATAATAATTAAACTTAGTCATAAAATAACAGCCATTAATGGTTACGTTTTACAGGCTGTAACTGTTAAGCTCTTCGGTTCAAGCGTTCAAAAAACAGTAACGCACTTTACCTGGTTCGGAGGACCACGGAACTAATTTTGGTAGTAGACATTCGAACATGTATGTACAGACGATGGCACATAGAGCTAAACATTTAGTTCTAATAGAAGCGTTTTTGCAACAAAATTGTAATCATATTATGTGCTCTGTACATACTGTTTTATGAACCGGAACTTTATCTCACCTTGTCTTCTTACTTGAACAAAAAGTTCGTGTCTTCTTTTTGTCCCAAAAACTTGAAGGGGATGAAAATATGGTCTCGGACTAGGGTTGCTAGGTCCAAAAACACAAAAGCCGGACTCGGTGCCTAACTTGGCCGGACATACCTTTTTTTAATAGCTGTAACATGTACAGTCACGGAATGAAAAGGTTCGTCAGTTTTCAAATTGATTCCTTCAACGAATCGCGAGCACATATTACCTTTTGAAACTATGTTACAGAATAATCTCGAGTTAGAGAAAATAATCTTTAACTGTTCGTCAGTAAAGTTCAAAATTATTCAGATCAAAGTTGTTTGAAGATTTATCTTGTCAAGAAGATTATTATGATTGATAAACTAAAACCTTCTTGTTGGTTCAACCTGCCATTATTATTTCTTATAAAATAAAAAAAACTATTGTCAATTGGTCTATGTCATCATTGCATTGCACTGATGGGATAGAAAAATAAACAAGCAAAACCTTATTCGTTAGCAAACGTCATATTTATTGAAATGTTAGCAGCACTGTTTCTTGAACTGTTATGTTGGCAGGTTTGACTTTTACAGTACCTAGTGCAAGCGAAAACCGACACTAAGGTGACGAACCTTTTCATTCCGCGACTGTACTTACATGCAGCTCATGTCTGAGTTCTATCATCTTCGAATCGGTAGCCCATCATCCTGATACGCACATGTGTGCTCGATATTATTCTGCGGGTCAACTTTCGCCTGGCGCGGCAGTCACATAAAATGCCTAATAAAAACCGGACAGGCCGGACGAGTCCGTAAAAAGCCAAACATGCCCTGTAGGCCTAAGATGAGCGCCGTGATAGGCGGTTATCACGCCATTTTATCGATTTTGCCCATACAAATTGACGTCGACAAAAGTTATCACGGCGCGCATCTTAGGCCTACAGGTGTCCGGACACCTGCAAACCTATCTCAGACCCGTTTGCCCCGTAAGTTCCGCCACTCATAGCTCATACTACAAAGTTCGCAAGGTATTTTTAGGCAAAGGGGTGAAAGGTACGGGGAAAACAGGTGCGAGTTCGGGGAATGAAAATGATGCATCAATCTATGAGAACCATTTTTTTAGTTTCTGATAGGAATATAAATAAAAAAAACTTTATTGACATACAGTATTTAATATTTTATCAGTTGCAGTATAATATTGAAATAGGTTGGTCAACAATGCGCCAACAGGCCTTGTATGTAGGTAAATAATACAAGATTTATTCACATAATTAAACGTAATACATATTTATTAAGTTTTTACAGAAGTAGCTTAATATTGTAAACCAACTTAGGTACCTATAGTTTTCAAAAAGTTTAAGGCTGAGTTGCACCACCTAACTTTGACCGTAACTATAACGATAACCGGTGCTTTTGTGTAGAGTTTGACAGATTTTTGACGTTTGTCAAAGTTAAAGTAAGATGGTGCAACCCAGCCTAAGAGTAATAAACTGAATTTCACTAGTTTCAATAATAATTATAAATTAATCATCTAAAATAGGTACAAGTACATTGTACAAGTACAAGGTAACAATTGTTTATCTATGTCACTATGCAATTCAAGAAGCAAAGTAAAATAAAATTCTTTCATTGCGCAAAATGCGCAGACACATCACAAATAAAGATACAAAATCAATAAAAAATTGTAAGTATAATAAAAAGTAATAAAAACGTTTGGACTTAAGTATCAGTCCCAAACAAGCTCTAAGAGTATTGATTCCTCATACAAATTAGAAGCCGACCAAATTATAGGCTGACAAAAAATCAGTAGTTTGGGTGGAAGTCGGCCTCAGATGCGGGCGTATGGGTCTTGGCGTATTCGTGTTCACAGTGTGAATCAAAATAATTTATAGAACGCGCAATCACCTAACAGACGCATTATCACTGTAAAAGTACGGGCGGACCGAGCCTCTAGACATCACCCGCGTCCGCGTTTGTCACAAGTGGACGCGCGGCTTGCAGGAGCACTGTGAAAACAACTGGCGTCCATGTATACAGGGTGGAAAGCACTTTCAGGATCAGTAACCAGTTTTTCGATATCTTGTATAGTTTAGAAATAATTCAGTGAGATCATTATCGTTTCCACCCTGTATTTTGATTTATACACGAGCAAGAGCCCGCGCCCGCCTCCACTCTGAAATTAGCCTATGAGAACTTATTAAGTAAATCTATTACAACAGGAACTATGTAATCCTGCATATGTCTTCCCCATACGAAGTCTGCGTGGTTAAGTCTATCCAAGACGTGGTAGTACACTACATTTGGAAGCTCGTGTTTTAGGCGTTTGACGTCGGGAATCGTAGACTGTAAGTCATTATTCCCCACCAAGAGAGCCACGGGCATTGTCACATTGGGTATCTTATACTTCGGGGGCGATGATGTTTTATACAATCGTCTGTTTTTTATCATACCATAGTCAAGTTGGGCAAAGGGACCCATTAATATTTGATAAAAATGCTCTACGTTTTTACGCGACGTGCCACACGGAAAGTGCTCTAGCGCAACGTTTAGGAAATCAGCCTCCAATTCTTCTGGATCATCACCAATAATGGCGCCTATAACATTAATGCAGAACTCGTAGCCGAACATTTCCTGTTTGCAAATAAATTTTACTAACTCAACTAGGGCAGATCGATTCGGTAGTACCTCTTCAACTCCTAGACCTTCGTACCAAGCGCTTATTAGTGGCCACAGCATAGCTGTCATGGTGTAATATTGTGGAAAATGTTTTAAATGTACACAAGGTGCTAAAGCCATTAAAATAGATATCTTTTTATTGTATTCCGGCTTCAATGATCCGAGTATGAATAAAATCATATTACCTTGAGAATGTCCAATTGCGGATAATTGATCTTTACTGGTTTTCTCTAAGATGAAGTCGATAGTAGCGGGTAGATCCAATGTTCCCATTTCGTGAAAACTGAAATCCCAAAATTCCTTCTTATCGAGATCGGGTGACAGTTTGACGTGCCGCCGACAGTACTTGTTTCCTCTGGAGTTGCCGACCCACACGTCGTAGCCTGCCTCGGCCAGGCTCAGAGCTAGGGACGACTTGCCTCTGATGACGAATGTGTCGGCCGAATCGAAGAGCCCGTGCATCAGCAGGACAGGCTGCTTGGACTCATTGCCTGTGATATGGAACAGTTTAAGGATGTATCCATCATCTGTAACAACGTCAAATTCTTCAATTTCACGTCCATATTGGACAACAATCTGGTTGAAGTCTTGCGGTATTTTGCGAGGACACAAGGCACTTCCAGGGGAATTTGGTATTAACAATAGACACGATAGAAATATCAGAATCATTTTTTCGCAAATTGGACCGCTAAAATGTCTTTGAGGAACGAGCACTTCTCTCGTAAGCAGGTACGAAACTTGTGGTTTATTTTAGCGGCTGTTTAAAATTATCACATTGTAGTGGACAAAAAACATGTGTGTTTATACTTTTAAAGCTTCAGCCAAAACAACGCGTGCAGATCGCGTCGGCGATGGCGATCACTGCATAGGCCAATGACAGGATACGCGATCTGCACGCGTTGGTTTGGCTGAAGCATAAAGCATTCTGACCTTCGTCCAGATCAAGGTTAATAGGCTAATATTTTTTTATTGTTTTGACCCTTGACCGTTTTGAGGATGAAGTTATTGCACTCGTAATATTATCATCATATGAGTAGTATTATGTTCTTCCTCCCCATTTGAATTTGAATTTGAACATTTAATTCCAAGCCTCTAACAAAAATAATTGAACTTGAAAATCTAAAATATTGGCTATCATAATAACCCACAGAACGTTCAATATTTTTTTCTTAAAAAAATATAAAAGAGAGTGTAGACATTTTTATTCTGCTATTTCTACACATTTGTGTGTGTATACGATTACACGGTAGTTACGAGTATGTGCACATTCTTCTGGAACATGTAAATTTTAAACAAAGCTGTTGAATTTGTAAATAAATAAATACCTACAAAATAAATAAATAAAAACACGCGGGGGTGACTTTGGGATCTAAGGATCATGTCAATGTACTTGCATTAAACATTGATTGTGTACATTTCATTATGTATTTATTTTATGCTTACAATGACTTATTGAGTAGGTAAGTACCTACTAAGCTTTTGCCTGCGGCGTCTTCCTTGTGATATTTTGACAAATTTGTACAGAAACACTTCACCGCGCACGTCCCCGTTTCAAATCCAGAATAAAAACTATGTCCTTTCTCTATATACTTCCATTTAATATTTGAAAATAATGGTCTACGTTTTTACGAGACGTGCCACACGGAAAGTGCTCTAGCGCAACTTCCAGAAAATCAGGCTCCAATTCTTCAGGATCATGACCAACAATGCTGCCTATCCCACGAATACACAGCTCGTAGCCCAGCTCTCCCTGCTTGCAGGTAAATTTCAGCAACTCAACAAAAGCAGCTCGATTTGGTAATATCTCTTCAACTCCTAGAATAGCATACTTAGATATCTTCTCATTGTATTCCGGCTTCACTGATCCAAGTATGTAAAAAATCATATTACCTTGAGAATGTCCAATTGCCGATAATTGATCTTTACCGGTTTTCTCTAAGATGAAGTCGATAGTAGCGGATAGATCGAATTTTCCCATTTCGTGGAAACTAAAATCCCAAAAATGCTTTTTATCGAGATCGGGTGACAGTTTGACGTGCCGCCGACAGTACTTGTTTCCTCTGGAGTTGCCGACCCACACGTCGTAGCCTGCCTCGGCCAGGCTCAGAGCTAGGGACGACTTGCCTCTGATGACGAATGTGTCGGCCGAATCGAGGAGCCCGTGCATCAGCAGGACAAGCTGCTTGGACTCATTGCCCGTGATGTGGAATAATTTGAGAATGTATCTGTCTTCTGTGACAACTTCAAATTCTTCACTTTCTCTTCCATATTTGATAACGATCTGAGTAAAGTTAAGGAGCCCATCTTCTGGAACGTTGTCATGAAGGATGCCACCTCCACTCGATACTAACAGCACGTTTAATAATACAGCCAAATACATTTTATTTTCCGCGATAAAATACAGCAATCTGTAGATAGGTACTTCTGTAGGTGTCAAGAGAATTAGGTCAAATGTGAATGAATAGGAAGGCAAACCTTCGTCTTGTATCATCTGCACCAGCTGTGTCTAATTCTGATTAAATAAGAACTTTTCCAATAGTACAGTCAAACAGAGTAAAAACAAAAAAAAGTCTAAAACTTGGAATGGAAGGAAGGAAGGCGCTGGATGCTGGCCGCTATCAACCAGTCATTATGTAAATCATTGAGGGTTGCAGTGGACGTCCTATGGCTGAAATGAAACCAACCCATTGAAATAGGGAATAGAAGCTTGTTTGAGACTTTTGCAAATGATGGGACTCCTTGTTATCAAATATTTTACCTTTTAAAGGACGGCCCTGGCCTGTCAACTGGCCACTGTGCACACCCGCACTAGTACGAGTAGGTATTTGCTGTCATCGCAAGCAGACGACACGAAACCGTAGAGGATCCGAAAGCATGTGTCCAGCTGGGTTAGGATGCGCGCCGTGATATACTCTTATCGACGTCAAAATCGATGGACAAAATCGATAAAATGGCGCTATAACCGCTTTTCGCGGCGCGCATCCTCTGTCTGTCTGTCTTGCTTTCACGCCTAAACCACGGAACCGATTTTGATGAAATTTGGCATAGAGATAGTTTGAGTCCCGGGAAAGGACATAGGGTAGTTTTTATCCCGGTTTTTGAACAGGAACGCGCGCGATAAAGTTTTTATGTGACAGACAAAATTCCACGCGAGCGAAGCCGCGAGCGGTAAGGTGAAATGAAGTGATAATTATAAATATAGTTCCAATATACTGAACTGTCCTATCCATGACATTGACAGCGGGGCGCCACCGTCAATACCGGATCGCTGGTTCCAATTTTTGCCATGTTGGAAACCATATAGTTGAACGATGGTAGCGCCTTCCTGTCATTGAGTTTGGTGGGACAGTTAAGCGTGGGTCATCTTTACCTACACGTCTACTTCTTCATCTTCTTTTATTTTAGCCACAACTTGGTTTTGAGAACCATGATTTCGCCAATGTCACGTAATCAGTTTTGACAAAGTTTACAGGGTTTATAAAATTCAAAAATGTTTATGTTTAAAATGTTAAGCTAAATTATTTGTGCGAGTACCTAAAACCTTACACTTCTAATTTGAAGGCGTATCGAGTGTTGAGTTGTCGAATGAATAACCCGCTTTGGATCCGATAGAGTTTTAAAACCTGCATACGGAAATACTTATCTACTTATATTAACTAAAACACCCATATTCCATTGTAAGGATATATCAAATAAATACACTCGACATTTGTATAAATAAATCTCTCACAAAAAAGGTTTGGTTGACATTTATTTAAAAAAAAATTCAGATGCCATAATATGTTTCCGAGTGTACCTACCTAATGCAATGAAAAACCAATATCTTCGTAAGAAGGTGAGTAAACAAAATGTCTTTACTAGAATTATTATGTGTAAACATGTATACCTAATCGAGAACCATGAAATAAACATGTTATTTTGCTATTAAAAACAGAACGCAATAATGTTAAAAAACCATAAATGGAATTTACATAATAAGTGACTTTGAGGTGGTAGTTTAAGTAATATAATTTTGTTGATACATACAGCTTTTCATATGTTATTTTACACTGAGTTTGAAAGAACTTAAATTTTAATATGATAATTTTTAAAATATTGTGCTAAACTTAAGGTGTTTTGTTTACTAACCACAATATGAACTTGTAAGTTGTTCGAAATAAAAACTTTTTATTTTATTTATTTTCATTTATTTAAGCTAAATCAAGTAATAACAATCATAAATAATTTTAAATCAAAGCGATGAGAGAACACCACCGCCACACCAGAATTTCTAATAACTAAAACATTTGTAATTTTTTATTTTTTTAACTTGATTTATTTATTCCAATAGGTCTAAATTCGCTCAGGCAAATTCGCGTAACAAATCCCTCAAAAGAGGGGTCATATAAACGTCTATATCTTTTCCCCAAACGAAATCAACGTGGTTAAACTTCTCGCGCTCCATGACGTGGTAGCGCACCACGTTCCCGAGCTCGTCCCTCAGTCGCTCCACGTCTTTAATCCCTGAAAATCCGTCATTTTTCCCCGCCAGGAGGACTGTGGGCATCGTCACTTTCCATAAATCATAAGCAGGAGGAGTTGCCTTCTTATACAAAATCATGTTCTTTAATGTACCATAATCGTACTGCGCAAAGCGACCGCTATTTGAGATTTGGACGAAGTGCGAAAAAGCCTTCCGCGAGGTGCCAGCTGGGAAGTGATCCACCAAGACGTCCCAGAACTCTGGCTCCAACTGTTCCGAGTCGTCTCCCGCCAGGGAGGCCAGGAGGCCCTTCACGCACAGATCGTAGCCTATTTCTCCTAGAGTACACAAGAATTTATTTAATTCATTCCCAGCCGACTTGTCCTGCAGGACCTCTTCGTAACCCAAGCCTATGAAAAAGCCATTAATTATTGGCCACAGTTTTATTAGCGCCCTCAAAGAGGTACTTATTTCGTTCAGATAAGCTACGGGTGCCAATGAGATGAACACTGATATTTTTGCATTATACTCAGGTTTCACAGACCCCAATGCGTAGTACATTGTGGTGCTCTGGGAATGGGCAATGGCGGACAGCTTCTGCTTGCCTGTTTTTGCCAAAATGAAGTCGATTGTAGCGGGCAGGTCGTAAATGCCCATTTCGTGGAAAGTGAAGTCCCAGAATTTGTACTTATTCTTGTCAGGCGAAAGGTTCACGTTGCGTCGTGAATATTTGTTTCCCCTGACGTTGCCCGCCCACACATCGTAGCCTGCTTCTGCCAGGCTTATGGCTATAGATATCTCGCCTCTGATCACGTACGAGTCGGCTGAATCGAGCATGGCGTGCATCAGCAGAACGGGCTCCTTGGAATCGTTTCCAATGATGTGGAACACTTTGAGGATGTACCCATCTTCCGTCACTACATCGTATTCTTCACAGTTCCATCCGTACTTCAAAGTAAGCTGCGGGAAGGTTGGGACTCCAGTCGAGGATTCGCTGAGAGTAATGTTCTGGTCACTCGCTGCCGACAATGCAAGAAGGCACGACAGTATGAAAAGAAACATGTTGGGAGTATGTACCGTAGATACATACGCACAGTAGATTTTCACATAATATATTTATATTATTATAAAATATATTAACAGCTGCTATGCTGAAAACTACGAGTATCACTATAGCAATGCGCGATCTAGTTTGTCTATTGAGCGAGGTAAAAAACATCTACTATTATATTTATCAGAAAGGAGTGACGCCTCCTTGCGCCTCACAAGTACGGCACTCGCAGGGAACTGCCGAAAAACGCTTATCGGGAACGAATGTAACGACCGCCAAAAAACACTTGGACGACTGATAAAAGGTTTTTGTAACGCAGCATTTAGTTTTTGGATAAAATTTGGAAAAATAAGCCGGCCAAGTGCGAGTAGGACTCGCGCACCGGGGGTTCCGTACAAACCAACCAACCAACGTAAGCATTAATGTGGAAAAGTTTATAGTTATTAAAAATATAATCAGAATCAGATTCCGTACTTTTTTGAATGGTCTCCATGTACTCCATGGCCAGTCCCATCTGATGCGTGTATTTTCTCTCAGGAGCCATAACTGATCATAGTGTTCATTACTGGGAAACAAAGGTTTATGTGATGTACCTATATAAAAATTGAAGGTTTTCGGAATTATTCCTTTATGTGTGCTATAAGACGTTGCTTCCAAATTTCAAGATTCTGAGTTCACGGGAAGTACCCCGTGAGTTGAAGTACCCTGTGAATTTTGATTCCTTGCAAGTGTCGAAAATTTGCAGCATAAACGGCTGTTTCCTTTGATTGCATTGCATTGGCTTAGATGTTAGATTTTTTCACAGCTCCAACGGGCAGTAGACCTGAGTATTTGATATGAATTTCAGCTTGATACCTCCACGCGTTCCTGAGAAAAGGGGGCTTGACAGACAAACGGACAACAAAGTGATCAATCCTTTGTGGGTTCCGTTTTTTCTTTTTGGGTACAGAACCCTAAAAAGAGTGTAGGTACTGTAAAAGTGACGTGGTAAAATAAAATTCTGGAGAGCAATCAATAATGAAGAAAAAAAGAATTTAGTTTTATCTGTTTATACAGGGTGATTGGGATATTCGATCTATTCCTTGAAAGGAATTATTCTAGAGGTTATTAGTAAACATAAAGTCCAGTGAACCAGGGGTTCGACCCCTCGACTGGATGAGTATCGAGCTGTGACATTTCAGAAAACTTTTATTGTGTGTGAATAAACTAGTAAACACTGAATTGGTACTTTTGAAAGCTGAAAAAATAGTGATCATTGTGATTAAAAGCGCTTGGCCAAAAACGACTTGTATAATCTCAGAAGTAAAAGGTCTTATTAAGTAAAAACAATTTTTATTTTTTGTGAGCTTTCTTTTTATTTTTTATTTTTTTCAATATGTTCTTTTTTTCTTGCTTATGATCTCTATTAATACCCCTTTCAAGAAATATCGATCAAGTACCCTGTCACCCTGTATGTTTCTTTAATGAATTCAGTGACTGATGAAAAATAAATAGATTGTAACTTATAGGGGCTTGGATATTACCTACTTGACTAAACCGCGAAAAATGTTATCATCCATTAAATGACATCACCTTACCATAATAAATACACACAATAATGAGTAGGTACACTATCGCGGAAAAAGAAATCAACTAAGTACAAAACTCGATTCTACCCCAATCTTCGATTAGTGTGGCGTAGGTATTATTTTGTAGTTGTCTTGTTGCCATCTAAATAAAATGGATATTAGATTGTGATTGGCTTTTAACGTTAGTCCAATCACTCACTTTGTTTAAAAGTTTATTCATACTTGAGTAGCAATTTAAAAAAATAACATACATTTCTAACCTATAAAAGAATTATACAAATAGGCGGTCAAGAATTTATCAGACTGGATGCGATCAGCCCCCCTAGACAAAACGCACTTTTTGATCGAATCGAAAATCGAATCCGTCAAAACTCCATACAAAAAAGGGACTTTGCGACCACTTTTCGACTGGTTTGCGATTATAATTTGCACTTTGTCTAGACCCACTGCAGTCTTCAATCAGAGCCCCGATTACGGTAACTTTTAACGTTTCCAATCCAGACGCGCTTCTGATTCTGCGATACGATTGGTCAAAACAGCTGACGTACGCTGTTGAACGACCAATCGTATCGCAGAATCACAAGAATCGAGAAGCGTGTCTGGATTGGAGACGTTAAAAATTACCGTAATCGGGGCTCAGGTGAAAGTGAACGCAGCCCGCAAAATACATCCAGTGTGATACAGGGATGTTGTGTTATGGATGGATATCCGTAACCGTAACCGTAACCGGAACTTTCGGATATCCGAAATAAAAAAAATATCCAAAACCGTAACCGCAACCGATTCTAAAGTTTCGGATATTTTCGGATGTAGGCAGTTTAAATTGTTTTTTGTATCTATAGCATATTATGTAAAGGCATAACAGCCTGATTTACCCTTATGATGCCATCTAGGATCAATTTTTTAATTTTTTTTGATACTTTCTCTTCGATGTAAAAATGTACGGCCCTAGTGTGATAGTCTTTTATCTTTAGGTAACAATCTCCCACAGAGACAGATAAAAAGGGAAGGGATCGATAAAATAATAGGATAATAGTGCGGTGACTGATATTATAAATAAGTATAAAACTAGGAAAATTCATTCTTCCAATAACATTAACAGTATCTTTACGAGTAAAAACACAACAATGTTAATATAGGACTTTACACTAAGGTGATCTCTAAAGATTATTTTTTTTATTAAAGGAGAAATTAGTTTAACTCAGTGTAAAATAATAAGGTACTTTATACAGTGTGAGTCACGTTAAAGTGTACATATGAAAATAGATGAAACTAGACCTATTTTTATCGACAAAAAAGAGGTGAAAAAATTTTTGAGATTTTTTTTTAATTTTTTATAGATTTTTTTTTCTTCCAATTACTTATTATGAAGAAAACGTAATAACTTTTAAACTAAGCGGTATATCCTGATAAAATAAAAACAGTAATAATGGTAAATAACAGGCAATACTAAAAAAATACATAAAATACACAAAAAATGCCAAGAAATAATAAAAAATGATACTTTTTGAAAAAAATATGCTCTAAAATTCGTATTTTTTTGGTTATTTGATAAATTTCTCCAAAAAATGCCCCTATCGCAGATGGTTTTTATTACTTTTTATGATTCTCTATCGTATTACTTTTGTAAAACAAAAAAAAGCATGTCTCTATCCCTATCACAACATTTGCTATGATCGTTTGAACAAAGGCCTGCCACCACATTTTTCTCTGCTACANATCACGAATGGAAGAGTGGCGATACCATATGTTTGTCTCGAAGCGCTGGTAGGGCCCAAAAGATAAGGAGACATGTAAAGTGCCCCATAAGGGCTACCTTTTTCTTTTTTTATTATTTTCTATTGACGTTCATAAGTGCCACTTGTGGTCTAAACTGAATAAATATTTTTGATTTTGATTTTGATTTTTGATTTTGATACATACCTACTAAGTTAAACGTTGCTGATTGCGCAACAAGAGAGGTCTACGATAAAACAGTGTTCGAAAATGATTGGTTCAGAGGGCCTAGGTTTTTGTATGCTGATGAGACGTGTTGGCCAAAACATTTAATGAAACCGGCTAACCAATCAGATCTTGAACAAATCAATATCGTACAAGATTTACCTGCAATTTACTTACCTGTTCCAGATTCGGGACGTTTTTCTTCTTGGTTGCGACTGGTCAGGTCAACCACTGCCGTACTGAAATTTATAAACAAATGTAGGAAAATTAATGAACCTGATTCGTTACTTATGGAGCGTGCAGAACAATTACTTCTTAAAGGGGCACAGATGGACTCATTCCCAATCGAATTGGCTGCAATAAAAAACAGTAAGTACTTGGATAAAAGTAGTAAGTTACTTACTTTATCACCGGAACTCGATACCTATGGGATACTTCGAGTTGGAGGTCGCATTAACGCTGCGACGGGAGTTTCATCTGAAATGAAGAGTCCAGTTATACTTGATGGCCGACATCACATGTCCAGGTTGATCATCCAGCACTATCACGTGAAAGCTGCTCACGGAATCCAGGAAACAGTAGTCAATAACCTGAAACAAAAGTATTGGATCATAAAATTGCGTCCTTCAGTTAAATATGTAACTTCACGTTGCATGCTATGTAGATTAAAGCGAGCAAAGCCTGAAATTCCTAGGATGGGAGACTTACCCGCTGCTCGTGTGGCACACCACCAGCGACCCTTTACTCACTGTGGAGTAGATCTGTTCGGGCCAATGGAAGTGACAGTGGGTAGACGAAGAGAAAAGAGGTATGGAGTTTTGTTTACCTGTCTCACCGTCCGAGCTGTACATCTGGAAATTGTACCATCACTTACCTCCGATTCCTTGATAATGGCGTTACGACGAATGGCGGCAAGACGCGGCTGGCCACAACAGCTGTATTCGGATAACGGGACCAATCTGAGAGGCGCTGATACAGAACTAAAGAAATCCATTCAGGAGTTGGATAGTGAAGTGCTTAAAAACGAAGCTGTGAATAATGGAGCGCTATGGACCTTTATCCCTCCGGCTAGTCCCCATTGGGGTGGGGCTTGGGAACGGCTTATTCGAAGCGTTAAGACTTCACTGAAGGTTGTACTGAAGGAACGTGCTCCTAGGGAAGAAGTACTAAGTACGTTATTTGCAGAAGTTGAAAACATTGTGAACAGTCGTCCACTATCCCACGTTTCAGTTGAGCCAGGTAGTGATGAATCTCTAACGCCAAATCATTTCCTCTTGGGGTCATCATCGGTAATGCCAACTCTTGGAGTGTTTGACCACTCAGACTTGTATCTGCGTAAGCAGTGGCGGAAGGCGCAGTTGTTGGCAGATATGTTCTGGAAAAGGTGGGTTCGAGAGGTTTTGCCAGAGTTGTTGCCTAGGAAGAAATGGACTCAGGAACAAAAACCACTACAGGTGGGAGACCTTGTACTCATTGTCGATTCTGACGCTCCTCGGAGCGTGTGGCAGAGGGGCATTATACAGAGTGTTTCTCCAGGTAGGGATGGTCGAGTGAGATTGGTCGAGGTTAAAACTAAAGCAGGTATCTTTAAAAGATCTGCCGCGCGCGTCGCACGTATTCCTATTGTTGATGAGTGCTGAGCCAGCACTGGGGTGGGACGTGTTGACGACGCGCACTTTATAACGTTAATTTTAAAATAACTGGTATTTCGATATGCATATCGTTATTTCGTTATTTTGTATCGGTATTAGGGCATGCAAACCGGTTAACCGGATAACCGAAAAACCGGATAACCGACACAATTTGGAACTCGGTTTTTGTCAGATAAAAATCCGGGTTTTTCGGTTATTTCGGTTTTTCTTCTACGATTTTAGATAATTTAATAACTCATACAAAAACATGCTTCTTTAGTCATATCAATAAAAACAATTATTGTAATGCAATGTGAATGAGTAGAGTATAGTCTATGGCTATGGTATTGAACTAAAGTACCATGTATCTTCTAGCTAAAGCTATAAGCGCGCGGGCGCAAAATGGAACGCGCTTTGTATTTGACCATTGCCGCCATTATTTTTGCTTTGCTAGTCTCTGTCAGTGTCAACTTACATATTATTTAATTAAGCATAACTATGACCAAATGTTCTTCTTCTTTTTTGATGATGTTGGCAATACACGTCGAGGTCGACTTGATTTATGCCATTTTCCAGTATACAGGGTGGAAACGTTAAGTGATCTCACTCGATTATTTCTAAACTATACAAGACATTGAAAAACTGGTTACTGATCCTGAAAGTGCTTTATGAGCTCTTTCAAACGGTACCAATAATAGGTTACAGAATAAACTGGATCTATCTGAAAATTCAATGTTTCCAGCTTCCATACTAAATGTATGCCAGACACACAATATTCTTCTTCTTAGTCGTTACGNCAATTTTTGACACATGCTGCATCTATCCATATCTGTGCTCCTCCCAAACTTGGTTGAGTTGAGTTTCTTGAGAGCCATTCTCCTCGAATTGACAGTGCAATAATTCTACGTTGTTTTCGTGTTGCAATAACCATCATGGCACCTTTTAGGTGTTGTGTCGGTGGTTGTGATTCGACAAGCAATAGCCACAAACTGTTTTGCATGCCCGTAAATGATGATTTACGCAATTTGTGGATGTCATTCCTGGTTCCGACAAATCCTGGTTTACTTGGACTGAATAAAAGCCAGTTGTTGAAGAAACGTGTTTGTGCTAAGCATTTTGACGAAGCTCAATTTGATCAATCTGGTGTAAGAATACGTTATTCTTATCCTTGTTTGCTCACACGGAGGGAGATTTTACATGGTGTTCCACTTACTACTGATGGTAAGTTTCCAGTAATATTTAAAATGTTTACTAATTAGGTACATACATTGTGTAGGTAATTATGGTCTATTTTTTCTGGCATAAAACAATCATACACACTTTTGTGAACAAGGGGCAAATTGTGTTAGTTTTAGGCAATCATTTTTCATATAAGTTTAGCAATAAACATATTGAGTATGTGAAAAATTAAAAGGTGGCTTAGTAGAGCCCTCTGTTGCTCGATGAAAATGTGTCACATTTATCGGTACTGAGGTTAAATGATTGATAACTGGTAAATGTGATAAATTTCCTACTTTTACCTCAACCTTCGGTAATTACTTATTAATTAGTTGCAATTTACCACTATCACTGTAACACATTTATATATTTTATGGTGTATTTCATGATTTCAGACTACACAGTAGAAAAGGAGCACAACTACAGTCGGGTCCAACTGCAGGATGATATTCATACACAAGTTGATATAGCCACTAATGTGGGCATGCAAGGTATGTATGTTTCTTTTTAAAGTCTAAAGGTATCTTTTCTTTCTAAAGTCTTAGAAGATTCATTTAACTTATTTTAATCAGATGGTTTCAATAAATGATAATTTGTTATATCTATAGTGTACATAATAGAACAAATATTATTTCACAAACAGCAATTTTATTCTTCTATGTAGTAATGACAACTTCTGTGCTAGGCTCATAGGCATGTATCGCAGTAGTTGTGTTGAGTGAGCACTAACAAATTATTGACTATACCGCTCAGATTCCCTATGTTAGAAATTTTACTCATTTTAATATTACGGGCTAATGTTCTAACTTATCTTGTCATCAAGAACAATTGGTAGTTACTGTTACTTTTGTAGGGAGTTATTGATGTTTATATCATTTATTTATTCCAGGTGATGCTTCTTTCAATGAACATGAATATTCATTACCATCAACTAGCCAAACAGCTGTTTCTAACTACCAGAGTAAAGGTTAGTTGAATAGTTCTTATGTACTGTGTTTTATATGCATATAAGTTTTTAATAATTAATTAAGTTGTTCTAGTTATTAAGGAAACTTTTTATTTTAATTATCAAGGTAATATAAAACTCTAAGAGTAGGCGCACACCGTTGATATTTAGTTGGCCGATAGTTTAGTCGGGCATTTGATCAGTATGGGCATGTATGGGAGTGCGCACACTACGCCGATTCAATTTGGCCGATTCTTCATACAATTTAAAATCGGGCACAACTATCGGCCAACTAAAAATCAACGGTGTGCGCCTACTCGACTCTTATACAGGGTGTTGATTTCAATCCTCGCCATATTTATTTAGGTGATCTATTATGACTTACATAAACTCATTATCCACCAAAAAAAAATTACAAACGAAAGTGGAATTTTTAGCGAGTATTTTCCGTGCAAAATTAACTGTACTGTGGCTCGCAATATTGCAATAGTTTACACTGCGACACTCATCGAGCTACACGGATCGCTCACTTATCATGTTTGATAACCTCCTGAAGGAAGCCACTTAAAGTAGGTAGTGTAAAAGGTATTTTTCTTTGACTACCTTAGTTAAAGTTAAAGTTCGTTTGAATTTTTTTTTGAAGTAAATTTTTTTACTCATTCGTAATCAGAATAAGCTACATAATCAACTCCCTGAATATGGCGAGGATTGAAATCAACACCCTGTATAATCTTAAAAAATCTAATCTTACTATTAGATTTATTTACAAATGATATTTCTTCTCCAGATGATCAATCTTCACTGGTTGCAAGCCAAACACTACAGACTTCAGAATTGCTGGATAGTGGTATGTTACTCATTTTATATTCATATTATGTAACAAGATTAAACACATTTTTTGATAAATTAATGCTGTTTATAAAATTATAATACATACTTATAAATGTTTTAGATGATGCAGCAGGTGTTAATAAGGGCGATGAGAATAATGCATTGATTCAATTAAAATCTAATAATACTCCTTGCATCAAGAAAGGTAAAAATAAATCTAATTATAAAAAATATTTTGCATGCTGTGTTTTATCAAAGGTTTACCCAATATCTTTATTTATTTCAGGCAAATCTGTGAAACAATTTGCTGCCAAATCTCGCAGATTTATTAAAAAGTGCACCAATTTTGCAAAAGAGAGTCTGGGTGACGGAAGTAGCCAAAGATTGCAAAATGCACAAAATCTGGCAGAAAGTTCTCTTTTAAATGATTTTGAGAAACTGAATAAGAGAGCTAAAGAATTCCTATTAATGCAGTTACGTCTAGTCAGAAAAAATATTATGGCAAGACGCTTCTCCCTAAGTGACAAGTTATTCGCTCTTACGTTATGGAAGCAAAGTCCAAAGGGATACAGATTGTTGGAGAAAATATTTGCCTTGCCTAATAAGAGAACACTCGAAAGGTTATCACAAAAAAATGTTTTTGAAAGTGGTTTGAACAAAAACGTTGTTAAGCACATCAAGGAGACAATTAAAGGATGGGACATAAAGAAAAAACTATGTTCTTTAGTTTTTGACGAAGTTGCCCTCACTCCACGCCTCATTTATAATGAAAATAAAGACAAAATTAATGGATTTGTAGAGATAGGAGAAGAACGCAAGCAAAAATTTGCAGATCATGCATTAGTTTTTATGATCAGAGGAATATGCTCTTCATGGAGACAGAGCATTGCGTACTATTTCTGTGCTGGAACAGTTTCTGCAGTGGAGCTACAGAATATACTGAAGAAAATTATACCGTCCATTTCTGAGACTGGTCTGGTTCCACTTGCGTTGGTGTGTGATCAGGGATCAACATTTAGATCCTGTTTTAAAACAATGAAAAACGACACTGCTCAATTACGCAGTACTCAAGGAAGACGCCAAGGTATTTATATTAATATATGATAAAATATTATAAGGTATTTATTTTAAAGACTTTATTGCACTCACATAAAAATATTAGGTACAAAAAGTTGAGGTATTATGTTTTATAAGAGCTGATACAACAAACATCTCTGAATAATTGTTTTGTTTCTATAGATAATAATAGTACAAGTTTTACAAAACAATAAAACTTGTATTATTGAGCAGAGACGATGCACAGCATCTGGTGAGAGAGATGCGTCTACTTCCGGTGTAGTTTTTTACCGTTTTATACCTTAAATGACGTCATTTCTAGTCTGCGAGAAGCCTCGTAAAGGTCACATTTTAGATACCTACTGTTGGGTTTAAGGCCTTTATCAGGAAGTGAAATTGGTTAAGCTTTTATGCTTAGTAAGAAAATTAAAGTTATCTTTAATATAGTTTTAGATTAGTAATACCAGCCCCCCTTGACAAGTAGCACTTTTTGATCGAATCGAAAATTGGATACGTTATAACTTCATATAGAAAAAAGAAGGCTTATCGACCATCCTTCGATTGGTTTGCAATTTTAAAGTGAATTTTGTCTAGACCCACAGGGCATAAAGGTAGTAGAAGAGTAGATAGACGATTTAGNATTTTCGTTTGCCCTACTGGTATACTCAAACTTTTGAAAACTTATTGGTGTGTATTTTGAAGCTTAATAATTTAGCTATATATTTTACAATAAATAAATTAATTAACTTTTAAATAGCAAGTTTTATGGCCCTTACTAACACTCAAATGGTTTTTTTTTTTTTTTTACTTCGAAAAAACCAGAATACAAACCTAGTATGAGCGTACTTACTAGGTTTTAAAATGGTTTTTGGGGTATCCTTCCGTTTGGCCAAATTACTTTTCGCCAAATTTCACTTCGCAAACAACTTATCGCCAAAGTTTCATTTCCCAAATGAACTTTTAGCAACTGTACTTTTCGCAACTAATTCGTTTGGTCAAATTATCATTTGGCAAAATTTTACTTGGCAAATGTGTATATAGCAAATGTTTTATTTTGCCAAATATTATATCCCAAATAATTTGTTTGGTCAAATTGACACTTCACATACTTACCCACCGTTACCCACTAATCAAAGCATAAGGCACATGATCATGGTTTTCACAAGAATTTTATGTGAAACAAAGAGATTGCAGAAAATAGTATGGTTGCAAAAAGTAGGTCTTGCAGAAAATAGTAGGTTAGGTTAGGTTAGAACAGTGACCCTTAATGCGCGAAGGCGAGCGAAGCGTGCCGCGGTAGCGGCCGCCGAGCGCTAATCACCTCTATTGTTAATGAATCATTTGAAAATTTCGATAAAAAGAATGAATTATGAAAATTAATTTAGAACAAATTTCATATTAACTACCCACTAAACAAAATAATAACCACAAGCTAATTTGTATTCCATTCTATGCACCAATCAAGTTATTTTGTAAATAGTTTATCGTGAAATATTTTTGCCAAATGAAACATTTGGCAAAACATACTTTGCCAAACAATAATTTGCTAAACAATAATATGCCAAAAGCGACATTTGCGAATTAAAAGTTTGCCATAAGTTGTTTTGCCAAATGAGAATTTGCCAAATGAAAATTTGCGAAACGTTGTTTGCGATGTGATAATTTGGGAAACGTTTTTTGGCCAAACATTAGTAATCCGGTTTTTGGGGATGGATCTGTCAACGCGAAATTGTGAACTCCGTCAGTTTATAATATAACGCGTGAGATTGTAAACTAACTGTGGGTTAGGTTAGGTTAGATTGTAATTTAACTACGTTAGATTATAATCTGACGGAATTCACAATATTACGGTGACAGATCCAACTGACGCTCAGTCCATTTCAAATTTACTATAAGTTTGGTGTAAAGGAAACAACGATAATTTTATTAAAAAGGAAATTTTTAATTAAAAGAAATAGGTAGGTACATAATTATTAAGAATTTATTAATTGTCAGTAACTTACTGACCTAAATTAGATCTAATGATCTATCATTGATAGGCAAATTATACCAGAAACTTCTTCTTGATTCTGGCATCAAAGGAACAAGTTTTTTAACTATCTCATCCTTTTTTTGGGTTGATACACCTCGTGGATCCGGAATCAGTCTAGGTTCATTAGATATGTTGAATTTTTTCATCATAAAATCCAGCTCAGTGAATTGAGAGTCAAATCTGAAAAAAAAAAAACGAAAATTATTAAATTATCTAAATTATCAGAATGATTTAACGGGCAACAGAAATTAAGATAGCAACCAAGTTTTTAATTTAATAACATGATATTATACCCGATGTGTTAGTAATATTTTAGCCTAAACATAACATAATTAAGGCTGCACTTAGATTAAGTTTAAATTTGCTGTAAATATTGATTGTCTTATTGGTTGTCCTATTAAATAAATAAATAAAAATAATTAAACATCAACATTCAAAACATTACAAACAACAACAAACAACCTGGTTTTGTAGAGGAGGTTTCTTGACCCTGCTATAAACTTGACTTCTACAACTGAATTCAAGTTAAAGTCTTTTAGAGGCTCATTTGGGCGAGCTGATCTTTTTTTTCTTTGGCCAGTCATGTACTTTTTCGACTTCGAGCACCCTTATATTGGACCTTGACGCCATGACAATATCTTTAAAATCTTGAAAATCGTATAAATTTCTTTGTCTTCTCATCTTCAATTCAATATTTGCATGAACTGAGTCAGCGGACATATGAGTGTGACCTTTGGTTAAATAGCCCATGCTAATTGACTGTATATTGTTATCAGAATTATTTACAATCATAATTAGTGCTGTGTATAAGGTCCAATTTTTGTTCTGAGCTGTACAGTTATCGGCCCAGATGTAGAAATGTTGGACATCACGATGAGATTCAAAAAAAGCTACAATGGCATCTACTATGTTATTTGCATCCCTGCCTGCTTTTCCTTCGTGCCATAGAACACAAGTTGCCTTGTCTTTTGATTGCTTTTGTATTGGCGCAAAGGTTAAATTGAATGTCACTAAGCGACTCATAAAAAAAGCATCTTTAATAGCCGGCATAATTGGGAGAAGAACAACCTTTTGTAGGTCCATTGAGAAGTACTTGACCAAATTGTTGCCTTTAGTGGACGATTCGCCATCTAATCTATATTTCTGAATAGCAGACTCTGCCTTCGATTTATGACATTCGTGTTTTTCCTTCGTTTCTATAGGTATCGCATTTTCATCTACCTGCATAGCTTCTTCGTAAATTAGGCATTCCGGACATTGATCACCTTTCGGCATATGGAACGATATCCTTAAATCCTTGAGCTGTTGCCTGTAAACCTCTTTGCAACATTTAAAACCAGGATGCTTCTTCTTGAAATCGTTGTACATGTCTTTTAAAGTCAAATGCCTAGGCAAATACTTCGTGTGTGGAGAGTTGTGCCGGCGATAGTGACTGCTTGTTGGGTGAAAGCTTAATATAATATGATCTTTAATAATTTTTCTGTCTATATTTTTATCAGCTCTTTTCCCTCTTCGATCTTTTGAAACAACTGCGTATAAACTTTCTTTTTTTACAGCTTTGCTTAATTCAGTTATCACGCCATCTGTTTTGTAGCCCAGTGTACCCAAAAAAAAATTTCGGGAAACTGAAACCAACTCAGTATCATTTTTTGGGAGAAAAAAATAACGACTTTCGTTTTTTACGTACATACAATCTAAATTGGCATGATGAAGTTTGCGACGTTTGACTTGAGAAAAACGCACGCATTTATTCAGAAAACTGCGTCTAGAAGGATAGGTTTTATCCCAATATTGTGCCCATATATATTTTCTATCGTTTTCAGAGAGTAAATTGCACTGACGTTTACATTTTCCTTCACAAGGATTAGCTTTCATCGGGTGTTTCAGCTTATTTCTTGAAACCCTGGGATTAATTGGTCTTTCATCTGAA